ATGGGATCTGGAGGTGATGCGCTCACCACAGAATTGCCAAAGGGGTTGATGACGATGGCGACGAGATGCTATGCCCCTTCATGTTCTGGAGACGGGCGCTGTTATGCTCCCCGCTGTCCGTACAGGACTGGACCCAACGCGTTCCTTCCTCGCAAAGAAGACACGACACCTCTCCCAACACCTGCCAGTAGCATACGGGGAGTAGATTGGAAAGAGGATCTAGACCCCATCACACTGCATGGGCTGAGCCCACAAGAGATCACTCGGCAGGATGTAATTCGCCAAGCTCTTGCTTCCGAGGTAGCCTATCAGGCGGATTTGGAGGCTATGGAAACCCTGTACGTCAATCACCTGCGTACGGCAGAGCCTCCGATCATCAAAGATCCCATGGACCGGGAGAACTTTATTCAAGATGTCTTTCACAATGCTGGTCAGCTGAGAGAGGCTAGTGCGGCGTTAATTGAAGAGTTTACAATTAGGGTGCGGGAACAGCCTGTGATTCGGTTTGTGGGAGACTTGTTTTTGCAAGCGGCGACCGAGTTTAGAAATATATACCCAGAGTATACGGGCAAGCTGCCGCAGGCGGAAGCTACACTGAGTAAAGAGTTGGAGGAGAATCCGGAGCTTCGGTTGTACATCGATGTAAGCATTCTATGATAGGCGGGGGTTCTACTGACAGTTTTGTAGCAAGTTGTCCGAGAGAATGACCGTAGACGCGATCTCAAACACCTCCTCACTCGCCCTTCCTCACAACTACAACGCTACCCCGCCCTCCTCGAAGGTATCCTCAATGTCACAAACCCCGAGGATGCCGATTATGACTTTCTCTCCCAGGCCCTGCAGTCTATCCAATCCATCATGTCCCTCTCTCAGCTCAAGCTGTTCCACGCCAGTAAAGGACGTGGACCTGCGGCCAAGATTATGTGGTTCGATCTCGTCGGAGAAGAGGCGCGAGCGGAAATGCCAAAGAAAGAGCAGAAGCGACAGATGCATATATGGGAGTTGGTGCAGGGTGAGATGGAGTACGTTGCCGATCTGGAAGCCATTGAAACGGTGAGTATCGGCTCTTGAGAAGTATGCGTTGACTAATCATGTTCTAGCTCTTTGTCGATGGCTTGAGAACAGCGGAGCCGGCGGTCATTGACCGAAACAGGTTGGATGTCTTCCTTGACGAGGCATTCCACAACTACCGATCATTGCTTGAAGTGCACTCTCGTCTGCTGCACAACCTGCAACAGCGACAATTAGAGCAGCACCCGAATGTGGGGATGATTTCGGATTTGGTCTTTGACGCCGCTCTGAACTGGCAGGAGGCATACATGGAGTATGTCACGCACTACCCTATTGCCAAAGCCAAGGTTCAGGAAGAAGAACACAAGAATCCAAAGTTTGCTGCTTTCCTCAAAGTACGTCATTCCTCAATCAGAGTTACAAGAGCTGACATTTTTTAGGCATGCCTCAAGGACCCAGCTTCAAATAGACAGGATGTCTATCATTTCATCAACCGTCCTATTCCCCGTCTTCTCCGATACAACCTCCTATTGGCCGATATTCTCAAATGCCTCAAAGAGACCAAACCTGCAGATGACTCGGACATTGACCAGATCCCGCAAGTAATGGAAGTCATCGCCGATCTCGGTAAAGCCACTCAGAAAGGTGTAGCTGTCAACGAAGCAAAAGTCGAGCTATGGGGCTTCCAGAAGACTCTTGATGGGGGCAGGTTCGGGCGCAAGATGGTCGATGATTTGGATCTGGTCAATCCCATGAGGGAGCTGATACACAAGGGGAAGGTGTATAGACAGCCAGAAGGCAGTATCACCAGTGGATGGACAGAGCTGAGTGTGCTTCTGTTTGATCATTACCGTGAGTTTCTCGGAACTCCAGTGATCGTGGCTAAAATTGTTGTAGTGGTAATCACCAAAGAGGAGAGACAATCGAGAGCGTCTAGGTCATCCAAGAAGGACCAGCGCCAGGTCAGGTCTATTGTTAACCGTCGCGTAAGCTTGTGTCTGGCTCACTCCTGCCGATGCTGATGGGTATATAGCCAATTCCTCTTGAATTGCTTTCGCTTGGATCTTTCGGTGACCCACCCCGCACACAACGTATGGCTGGCCGGCTATTCGGTGTCGGCGGTGCCTCTCATAACGACGCCTCTGCCGATGGCTCTGGGACAGACACTTCCAAACTCTACCCGTTCAGCATCTCGTTCATTGGCGGACAAGAACGGCTCGGCGGATCTTACACCCTCTGGACAGACTCTTACGCTGCTCGTCAAGAGTGGCAAGAAAAGCTGCAACATGCCAAGGTATTGAGGAATGAGGTGGACGATGCTGGCAAGGTATGTCTGACGCGGAGCGGCGTGGGAGGATACTCACGTCCTACCAGGTCTTTGAAATGAATCCTTTGAGTGTGGACACCTTCTATATGCCGCCGAGCTATGCCCTGCAAAAAGACAAGGAGAAAGAGTTCACCGGACGAGTGACCTGCAGTTGTCCTTTCAGTAGGTCCCAACGATCTCAAGTCAGATCCTCAGCTCATTCTCGGCTCAGCTACCCAAGATGGCCGTCGACTCACAGCAGTCGGATGCCAGGATGGCGTGTGGATCGGACTCCGTGGCGACGCCCGATCTCTCCGAAAAGTGTTGCATGTCAAAGCTGTCACCAACATTGCGGTCCTCGAAGACTTCCATGTCTTCCTGGTCCTCTCCGACAAGGCAGTCGTAGCCTATCAGCTAGAGGCCTTGGTACCCAGCGCCGGCCAAAAACCTGTCAAGTCCACTACGGAACGGATCTCTGGGCCCAAAGAGGAGATTTCTGCCTTCGTGGTCGGCAAGATGGCGGACGAGTCTACCAACACCACGAGGATGTTGGTTGTCATGATGAAGATTGAAGCTACTCAGACAGTGTTCAAAGTCATGGAGCCGGTAGCCAAGGAAACTGTCGAAGACGCGGCGAGGCAAAGACGGCCTTTTGGGTTCTCATTGTCGGCCAAGTCGGATTGGTTCAGGTCATACAAGATGTTCTACCTTCCGGCCGAGACATATGGGGTGCATTTCCTCAAGAAACAGCTTGCCATTGTCTGTTCAAAGGGCTTTGAGATTATGGATCTCGGAAAGTGAGCCGAGTGCACATGCAGGGTGTGCGTTGCTGACAACTTTATCTAGCCTCAAAGGAGGACCTATCCCGATGTTTGACGCCGCCAAAGTTAAGGAGAAGCCCGCTTTGGCCGAGCTGGAAAGCAGATGCTCAAAGGGAAGGCCAATGGGAATGTTTAGGTCTACCGAGACAGAGTTCCTGCTATGCTACGACACTTTCGGCGTCTTCATCTACCGGTGAGTCTTGGGTTATCTACCTGTACATATTTTGACAAGCATTTCAGATATGGCGAGCCGAACCGAGACTACCGAGCTATCGAATGGGAGGGCAAACACGACAGTGTCGCCTTCCACCCTCCATACATCTTGCTCATTTCGGCGCCATTCATCGAGGTCAGACATGTCAATACTGGCAAGCTGTTACAGATCTATACCGGCAGTGATATGAGATTAACGTGGGAGTGCGTACCGCCGATAATCCAGGTTTCGACAAAGCTGACATGAGCATAGCGGTTCTGGGGGCCAGAGGAATACGCCAATTTTGAAGCCGGATAAATAGTGGGTATCACAGTCTTGATTCTACATGCGCTGACGTTCTTGTAGCGGTTATGGGGACGAAACAAAGATTCAAGAGCCTCAAATACATATCGCTTGTCGGGCTTCCGACCAAAAGTCGGGCAAGGGTGGTCAGCCCATCGGACAGGTTGTGTAAGTGGTTCGGCTATCGATATATATATACATACTGACCTCTCAGCTACGAACTGAGCCCGACATTGCTACTCAACAACCCCCTCATGAACCCTTTCAATACGCATGACTCCAACTACCTCCCACCGCCACCTCTTACATCACATGTCACTCCACAAATCAGGGTTCGTTACTTCTATCTGCTATGTGGATTATACTGACCCAACGCAGCAAGCCCGTCCTCCCTCTGTTCGGACTACCTACTCGGTGGACCAAGCGCACAACGCCCATGGGGTATACCAGAACGCCAACCCTTCAGGCTTTATTGGATTCCCCAACGCGACATCATATGCTGGCCACCCCCCGCTCCAACAACGCCCCTCTTCCCTTGTTCATCGTGAGAGCTATCACTCGCGGGATAGCATGTCGTACCCCGAGTCTGGGTCATATGGATATGGCGCGTCACCTCAAGATAGTGCGGGACAATTCCACCAAAGCCAACAAAGCTTAGGGGTGTACAGCTCCGAACGGAATCATGGGGGAGGCTACGGAGGTCATGGACAACAGTATAGTCATGAGTATGGCCAGCATGGGCAGCAGTATACTCAACAACCGGCCTACCCTGGCGGGCAGGCTTCTCTTGGGCCAGGGGTTCCGCCCCCACAAGTTCCGCAAGCCCCGCAAGGGTATGGCGGAGGGTATAACGACATTGCTATCAGGGCATGGGCCCAGGGAGGAGATTACAGGGGGAGCAATGGCGGATACGAAAGGGGCTATTGATTAGTCAACGCAAGTGTACGATCATGTTTGATTTTCTCTTCTTTTCATAAGGGGCATACGTGGGTACTGTAATTATTGTATATCAGGCGCTGTTGCGTTGGCATGATGCATCAATTGCATCCCGGGTTACCCTCGTGTTCTCGACGCGTCTCGTCAGCCAGCCCAGCGACCAGGTCGTCGCCGCGCCTCAGGTCCGAAATCGAGGTTCAGCCGTCGTGTATGCTCGACAACGTCCAGCGATGCCTCTCTTTGCATGCCTCGGCTTGTCATGAACACCCGGCTTCACCTGCTTACCATGCATGCATGCATTGAGGCGAAATCCCCCGTCCAAATCGCAGCTCGGGTAAAGTGCCACACCTGTGTAATGCCGTCGGAGTTTGGTAGTGACTCAGAGTCATCGATTTCAAGCAGGTCATAAGAACGTACTTCGTGCATAACCCCCCCCCCCTATTCCAAGGTGAGTACTGCGCGGCAAGCAGAGGGGTGTGCTGGTGTAGGGCGATGGAGGGGGTGCAGAGGAGAAATTGAAGAGTAGGGGGAAAACTGGGCCTGCCCGCTGACTTTTGCGTAGCTCCAAAGAAAACCGCCAGTAGGCAGGAGTTTAACAACCAGCAAAAATGGCTTTCGCGTCGAAGAACATCTTCGACCTCCTTGGGGGTGAGTGTTGGTCAATATGGATAAGGGAGGGGGAGAATTAGGGGAAACGGAAGGATGAAAGAGACTTGTGGAACTTGGGACTGACTTTTTCGATTTCAAGACAACGACGCCCCTGCCGCTGCCCAGGCTCCCAAGCCTGCCGCCAAGAAGGCCGACGCCCCCGCTCCCGCTGCCGCCCGAGCTGTCCCCGGCGCTGCCCCTCGAGGTGGTGCCCGAGGTGGCCGACCCTCCGGTAACCGCCCTGCCCACACCACTACCCGTGACAACCGAACTGCCGACAACGAGGGTGCCGAGACAACTAGCGGATTCGACGGCGAGCGAGTCCCCGCCAACAAGAAGGCCAACCACGTCCGTGACGCCCACACCAAGGGCCCCCGAGGTGGCAGGCAGAACAAGACCTCCGGTGGACACACTTCCAGCGGTGCCGGCCACTACAAGGGCGGCAAGGTCGTCGCCCAGGCTGGCGAGAGGAGGCAGTTCGACAGGAAGAACGCTTCCGGTACCACCGACTCTGTCAAGAAGACCGAGCACGGATGGGGTGCTACCACTGGCGCTGCCGAGTTGAAGGGTGAGCTGGATCTTTGGGTCCAACGAGCAGGTCGCTGATACTGGCTGTAGACGAGGTTGCCGGTGAGAAGGACGCCCAGGCTGAGGAGACCGCTCCCCAGACTCCAGCCGAGGAGACCTCTGCCGAGTCTGGCTGGGGTAAGGACGAGCCTGCCGCTGAGCCCCAGGCTGAGGAGGAGCCCGAGGAGGTCACCAAGTCTTACGAGGAGTACCTCGCCGAGAAGGCCGAGGAGAACGCCCGTAACGCTGCCCTTGGTAAGAAGCAGGGTAGGGAGGTCTCTGGCGAAATTGAGGGTACCGCTTTTGTTAGGGAAGGTTTGAACGACTTCTTCTCTGGCAAGGTGAGTCTGTCATTTCACGTCAAAAGCTTTGGTTGACACATTCCTAGGCCAAGACCACCGAGACCAAGACTAAGGCCAAGAAGGAGAAGGTCCACATTGCCATTGACGGCCAATTCGCCCAGCCTTCCCGACCCCCCCGTGGAGATGACCGAGAGAACAGGGGTGAGCGACGAGAGCGATCCGACCGACCTGCCCGAGGACGAGGTGCCCCCCGTGGTGCTTTCGCCGGCCAGCGTGGCCAGACCCGAGGTGCTCCCCGAGGTGGTCGAGGTGGCCGAGCTGCTGCCCCCGCCATCAACGCCAACGACACCAGCGCGTTCCCCGCTTTGGGCGCTTAAGCGTAGCACACGCGCAATCAATGACTATCAAGGTCTAAACCGGAGAGATGAGGTTGAAAAACGGAAAACAGTGGATCACTGGACAAGCTGTGGATGGGGGTGCTCAATGGAAGGGAGAAGGAAAGGCTGCTTAGCTTAGGGATTTCTCTTGCAACTGTAATGACTTCAGCTTTCACTTTCACTTTCACTGTGCCGCCTTCTGAGTGTTCCAAAGCCTGCTGAATTCCGAGTTTCTATTTCGTCTACTTTGGATAGTGTGAACAAGCATTTCTTTCTCTTTCTGGCCTACTCCTGCGCGCAAATGATACAATATTGCACAGACATCTGCATTGCCTCATTTTCATGGTACGACGACGTCGACGACGGAAAGATGCATACGTAAGCATATCCCGCCTGCATCTGATTCCGCAGCGTCGCAGGGTGTCCAGCAGTGACGAGGCCCTCCATGCATCTCTTACTTTCTTGTTGTTCTCCTCTATATCTGCTATTCCCCCCTGCAGCATCCCCTTGCCCCCCTGCCACCCCTGCAACACCGCTCCGTCCGAACTACTGCGCCGTCTCCCACGCCAGCTCAGCGAGGAACCACTCCATTATCCTCGCCTTCCAGCAAAGACGCTTCTTTCACACGCCCGCTCCAACTCGACTACCCAAGTACCTATCATGTCTGAAGAAGCCCCAGTAAAGGCCGTCCAGGTCAAGCTTGTGTTGCTCGGTGAGTAGCTGTTCCAGCTCTAGAATGGCGCGGCCGAAAGGCGTCATGTGGCGAGGGAAAGACGGGAGAGCCTATGCTGCAAGTATCGCAGTCGGTACTTCCCAATTGTCCCTGGTCAGGGGACAATTGGATTGGAGGGACGGGCTCAGATATCATATGGTCAAGATACGGCGCTGACAGCTGCATGCTTTGTTTCACTTCTCGCCACCCATTCACGCTCCCATTCCACGCCATGTCTACGTATCATCTGTATGTTTCAATCTCGTCGAAATAACGTAACATACTCTTGCATCAACCGCTGGGTCATCAAAATTAATACCGGCGGGACATATTCGCAGGCGAAGCTGCTGTCGGAAAGTCGTCGCTTGTCCTCCGATTCTGCTCGGGCGACTTTGACGAAAACACCTCTCCCACCATCGGCGCTGCTTTCTTGACTCAAAGTGAGTATTACTGCCCCTTGGAAGAGGCAAAGTTGACATTATGGCAGAATGCCGATTGGAAAACAGAGTGGTCAAGTTTGAGATCTGGTCAGTGAACTCGTTTTCTCAGAGGGCGTGCACTGATGCATGCTTACAGGGATACCGCCGGTCAAGGTTAGCCAGCTGCTTGTATGAGAGATTTCAAGCTGACCGACAACAGAACGTTTCCACTCTCTCGCACCCATGTACTACCGTAACGCCCAGGCCGCCGTCGTGGTGTACGACATTACAAAGGCTGTACGCCACATTATCATTTCCCATGGTCTTTGCTAACGATCCCACAGAGTTCGCTTGAGAAGGCCAAAGCTTGGGTTAAGGAGCTCCAAAGGCAAGCAAACGCCAATATCGTCATTGCACTCGTCGGCAACAAGTCCGATCTCGTTTCCGCTTCGACATCTCCCGCATCCCCTGCGAAAGGCGAGGACGGAGAGGAATCTCAAGAGGCTGCCGAGGCCTCGGCGAGTGGAGAGGAAGATGCTCGACAAGTATCCACTGCCGAGGCTGAACAGTATGCGAAGGAGAGCGGATTGTTGTTCTTTGAGGCTAGTGCAAAGACGGGAAAGAATGTCAACGAGGTCTTCACCGAAATTGGTACGTCTGTAATCCACTTTTGTGGAATAGCTCTGATTATCGGCATAGCCCAAACAATCCCCTTCGACTCTGCCCCCAAGCCCGCTGCCGGTGCCCAGCAAAATGCCAGGCGAGACGGTGCCAATGCCCAGGAAGGAGGGAGAGTGAACCTGGGAGAGGGTCAGCAGGCCAAGAAGGGCGGATGCTGTTAGACATGCTTTATTGACGTGTTTGTGCTGAGGGGGTAGAAAATCCAGAGGGAGGAAATCACGAGGTCGTTGATGATTGTGTGTGGTTCTATCATTTAGGCTTTTCCGTTTTGTCTCGCCATCAGTTAGTTTGATTCCTGTGTATGTTCTTTTTTGATATATGGTTCGTTGATACGTATGTTATGGACTTGACGCATACACGCCAAGAGATTGGTCACTGTCAAGCTGACTTTTGTATCTCACTTTCATGATAGGTCTGGACTCGTGCTCGACTACTGACCATTCCTCTGTCTTATGTGCTGACGGGACAGATATCGTAGGAGAAGCCCGAACATAGGTCTCACCCGATCCGAAGACTTGTCTCTCTTGCCTCGCGAGGGCGGAGCCCAGAAGTGCACGAAATCCAAGCACGTTTATGATTGTCGACCATCAATATCGGCCACCCGACGAGCCGAGTCCGTCTTCTCAGACCATGCCCAAACTTCCTCATCTGGCGATACGGGGTGGGCTAGGAATGCCTTGATATCCGAGAACGTATAAAGAGCTCGGCGATAAGATGGGTCCATTTGTCTTTTCACTGTGATCAACAACTGCAATGGCGGCAATGTCCATATCTACTCTATTCGGCTGCCTCATCTATCTGAGTGCTGGGGCAAACGCATTGACACACTATCCACCTGGTACGTTATTGAGATCTCAATGCTGTTCAGGAAGAGCTGACCCCATACATTGACAGCCAACACATCAAATACCATCCTGGGCGAGGTTTTGAACGGTACCTCTGCTCCTGGAATCTATACTAGCTCTCACACGCCTGATGACAAGTATGGAGAATACAACTGTGGGTTTGAATATGACCACCCTGGAGTACGCGCTGACTTGTTGTCCAGGGTGCGCTGTAAGGTCGTGGGTATTTGGCTGAATTGATTTGCTCACATCGTCATGAAGATGCCTCATGTCAGAGAGCAGGAATACGAGGTTCCCTCTGGAGATTATGAGCTCCAGTATGTCGAAGTGATACAAAGACATCATAAGGTAAGATGACCTTTCCCTGATCAGACATCCGATGCTAATGAAAGGCCCAGCGAACACCGTATGCCTCCAACACATTCTTCAAAGAGGACATCACCGTGAGTGATATGAGGCGTCACTCTCCGTTGACAGTGCTCACCATACGTACATCAGTGGGATTGCTCGAATGAGGGTCCTTATCACTACGCCAAAGATCACAACGGCCTTCAAACTGCACCTGTATATTGGCAAGCCCAGGTACGCTGTTCAACTTCGGCATAATTCAACAGACGTTGACGCTTGCCATTAGACCGGCACCCAGAACCCCTTCGAATACACCGTCGGCCCAGGATTTCCCAATTCAACTTGTGAATTTCCGTCCATCACTTCCCAAGGCCTCGACGACGCCTTTGAACATGGCAAAGACCTTCGTTCTGTCTATCACGACAAGCTCAGCTTCCTGCCTTCCAAATGGGAGAAGGACAAGTTTAGATTCAGGGTGACAAATAATGTTATCACGAGCCAGACCCTAAGTGGGTTGGCTAGGGGGCTGTTCCCCGGGGGTGATGGGTCGAAGGCAGAAGAGGAGGCTTGGATCCAGAGCGATGCTTGGGACAGCTTGGAACCCGCATTCGGTGAGCCGATATCTGGGAACGAGATAGTCTGGCTACTAATGAGTGAAAGCATGCGAGCTTAGAGACGCCGTAGCCTCAGCGATCACTGATAGCACCACTGAATGGGGTGAGCACCTCAGCAAAACCCAAGAGCTTCGACAGAGATTCTACAACGTATCTGGCATCGAGTGGGGAGACGACGCTGGCTGATCAGTGCGTCTGTTGACAGACCTTGAAGCGAGACCTGAATTAATTCAATTACTCAGCCCATATGACAACTTATCTGCCAAACAATGTCATGGCCTCAACCTTCCTTGCTCACTGAACAATACCGCCCTCTGTACTTCGCAAGAGGACGCCAATGCTATTTACAGCCTTGGCAATTACGAGTATGCCTACAAGTGAGCGGCAATCTCTATATCTCAACGATTACTGACAGTAAGAAAGGTGGCGCATGCACGAGAACTCGACTTTCTACTCGGCTTTGACAATGGGACCATGGTTCATCGAACTTCAACATCACATCAATGGAAAGATTGAGGGCTCCGACGCCGTCAAGTACTTTCACAAGTATGGGCCCTTTATTTGTACCATTGCGGGGATGCTGAAGAGGCTATAGCTTTGCACACGATGGTTCTATAGCTCCTGTGCTCGGGCTACTTCAAATCGACGAGGTATCATGATTGTTGGAAAGACCCACAGCTATCACTTACCACTTGTAGCCCTTCTGGCCCGGCATGGGCAGTGAAGTCGTTTTCGAACTCTTTCGCAACAGCAAGTCACATGCCTACTACATCAGGGTCCTTGTCAGCGGACAGCCTCTGAAGACTTCGACCCCCTTGGGCACTCTCGAGATGGTTCCTTGGGACGAGTTTGAGACCTATTTGGCAGAGACTATCCCGAGAGATATGATTGCCACTTGTGACTGGTAGCAGCCATGTTATAGAGCGCGTATCTTTCACGATCATTGAAATAGTCTTCTGGAAAGTATGTATTCTCGAGTACAGCAGCTCAAGTGAAAAGGTGGAACTACATGCACCCGTCCATAAAAGGCACAACTGGTGCCCTCTTTGCCCGTCGGGCTCACTAAACATGTTGTACCTCACTCTGCCGCGCTTGTTCATCTCAACATCAGAATGATCAATTTTCTGATCACCAGCTGCTATATGTAAAGCTGCTATATGTAAGGATACGAAACTCCCTTGATTATCCCAACGCGACTGGTCAGTTGAATGACGTTTGGGAGCTGTTCGTCATCGACTTCTGGGATGTAAAGTGTATTAAAGGTACTTTATGGGGCTTGTGTATATGCAATGATACTAATGCACTTCCTGCCCCTACTGTTATCCTTTCAAGCGTTCAAACCAGATACAAAAAGTTCCATGACATAGACATTTCACGAACCGGTGCAAGATATGATGACATCACCAGATACTTTATCTCCTCTTCTAATCGCCGAGTCGCCGTCTGTGTCTCTCTTTCCTCGCTATATCCCTCCACTCGCCAGGATGAACTTTACCTCCGGCGCGGACGCGTCCCAGCTCCTCTCTTTGGACCATATCCGAAGCCAGCTCATACGTCTCGAAGACACCATCATCTTTTGCAAGTCCCCTCTCCCTCGCCCCATCTCACTGCCCATGCTGACTTTTGCTACTACAGTGCTCATAGAGAGAGCGCAGTTTGCATACAATAAGCGGATCTATGAGCCTGGAGGATTCAAGGATGAGATCAACTTTGAGGGTAGTTGGCTTGACTGGTTCTTGTTTGAGATAGAGTCTTTCCATGGTACGCTCTGCTCCTGCCTCGTCCCACCATGCGCTGATAGTGTTTTACTTTAGCCAAAGCACGGAGATACACCAGGTGAAAACTCAAGATGACTGTATGTAGGGTGAAACTGACGATACATTGCCAAGCCCGGACGAACACGCCTTCACCCCGCTCGACAAACTCCCCAAACCCATCCTCAAACCCCAAGAATTTCCCTCCCTGCTCTACCTCCCCGCAGCCGAGCATCCCTCCGTCAATGTCAACAACCGCATCCTCGACTTTTACATAAAACATATCGTGCCCGGCGTGACGGTGGGCAAAGGCGGGTTGGAAGATGATGGGAATTATGGAAGCTCGGCTACGAGGGATGTGGAGGTGTTGCAGGCGCTGAGCAGGAGGATTCATTTTGGTGCGTTGTATATGTTTTCTCATGCGGAGGCAGGAGAACTGACAGAGTACAGGCATGTTTGTCTCTGAGAGCAAGTTTCTTTCTGCGCCGCACGACTTTATCCCCCACATCCTCTCTTCTCCTCCCAACAAGGAAGCCCTCGCCGGCCTGATCACCAAGCCCGCCGTGGAAGCCAAGCTCCTTGTACGACTTGCCAACAAGGCCCGGGTGTATGGCGGTGAGATGGACGCGGATGGAAAGGTGATTGAGGTGCCGGATGAAGAGTTTGCGTTGAGGGGCAAGATTGATTTGGGGTCTGTTGTGGGGATGTACAGGGATTGGGTCATCCCTCTGACCAAGGATGTCGAGGTGAGTGTCTGTTATGAAGAGAACGATTCGTGTGCTGACTTTAGGCAGGTGGACTATCTCATCCATCGCTTGGACAATGTGCCGCAATCCCAGATTGATGAATGGTTGGCGAAGGGCAAGAGTCAATAGAATAGAACAAGTTGGATCGTCATCATGCATGTGTAGTCTCTACATAGCTTTCTATGGGCCGTTACTTTTCAGGGTACTCCAGCCCATCGGGGGCTCGGATATACTTGGCATACTCTTCCCAGCCGTCCTTGCCTTCCCACATGGCTTTCAACTGTACACCGCTAGTCAGCCATCTATCAGACTTTCCAGCTTTACACTCACCTTTTGCTCGTCAATAAACTGATGCTGGTCCGGGTTCCACCCCGGCACAACAACTTCACTGATCAAGCACCCCACCCTCTCCTTCACATCCCCATCTTCTGCGCCTTTGCTTTTCACCAGCTCGAGGTCTTCCTCTGGGATCTCGCTGGCTTTCCACCAGCCGCCGGGGACAAAGAGCTGCTTGACTTCGCCGCGCCAGACGTTGGGGCCGACCACGACCTTCTTGACGAGGGGCCCGGCGCCGGGCTCGGACGGAGAAGGGGGTCGGATGAGAGTGTAGAGCGCGCGACCAGCGTGGTGGATGTGGAACGTCTGTGCACGTGTCAGTATGTCTTGACCGGCGTTGGAAGAGAGAAGAGCTCACAGAGTGAAGGTTCATGTGCATCTTGCCACGGTGAGAGTCGGGCGTGAGCAAGTAGTAGATCTGAGTGGCATCAGTCTTGACATCTTGGCCGTCTTCGGGCCTGGGGGCGGTCTTGCCAGAGAGGAGCTCTGCCCCCGGGCCAGAGTCGTACTGCTCCCTGCCGCCCAGAGCAGCAGACTTGGGGACGTGCGGGTTGGCGGGGGAGGGGGTGGTTGGGACGGCGGACTCGAGAGCAAGGGTCTGGGCAAAGTAGCCGCCCTCAAAGTGCTTGATGAGGGCGTGGGCGGCGATGAGCTCTGTGTTGGTGGTGGGGTACGGGTACGGCGGGACGGACATGGCGGGGGATGGGGTAGGCAGAGTGAGCGAGATGGGCATTTATAGGCGAAGGGGTATTTGTGTCCGTGCGTCGCGAACGAAATAGCAGACGAGCTGAGAAGCGCACCTCGGTCATCCGGCAGTCTCTGTCAATGCATACATACATGATACACCAGTCTACTATACTAATCTAACCACGGACAATCGACTCCAGCTCCGCCCGCACCTCCTCCCCACTCTTCCCTTCAGCCCACCACCCGTCCCCACCCGCGTCTTGCCCATTCGGGAAAACACCATTCTCTTCCACCTTTCTGCTCTTCTTGGGAGGAACCCAGTCCTCGCCTCGTCTCCGTTTGGTGAGGTATTCGAGGTAGGCAAGGGAGTGTGCTGGTTCTTTTGGGATAGAGATTGCGCCGGGGGCAATGGGGGCGCCAGAGAACCAGAGAACATTGCCACGGACGTCTTGTGGGAACAGTTTCGCTGCATGGGCCATCAGCATCACACACCAACCTGATCGATCCAAAGCGACGACGTACCAACTTCCTGCGGAAGCGTCTCCTTGTGCGCCACCTGATCCAGAATTTGCTGCCCGCCCAACAAACCCGCAAAAGTCTTGACCGGCTGCACCACCGGTTTCGGTGGTGGCGGCGCTTGGACAGGAGGTGCAGGAGCGGGGACATGGCCCTGCTGGCTGACCACCGGCGCACGATACGTCTGCGGCACGGGCGTCCCCCTCGCCGAGCCTGGGACGCCGCCATAGCTAGTAGCAGCCGGCGTCGCGGGCGGCCTTCCGCGTCCACGTTTCGGCCTTTCTTCTTCATCGTCGTCGTCGTCGTTTGCGATATCGCCGCCAAGGATCTTTTTGGGGTCGCCAAAGAAGCCGGGGCCGCGCACGCCGAGGTTGAAGGGAGATGGGAGCATGCGGAGTTCGATAGGGCGTTCAAAGGGAACGATGGACATGAAGTCTGTTTGGCGTAATTCCTGTCGGATTGTCAGCACGACACGGGGTAGATAGAATCAGGGTGGCGTACTTCGGGGATACAGCTGTTCCAATTCTTGATTCGCACAATGTTGTAATCTCGGTGGTTGAATCGCGAATTGCAGACATCTGTATACCATTAGCTTGGCCATACGACGTAAAAGCACACTTGCAAGTAGGCCATCCAGGATAGTATTCTCCTTCTCTAGGACGTCCACGGATATACTTGACATAGAATTGCACCGAGATCCTCTCGAGGATATCTTCCACGGGGTGATCACAGAACTGTCCAGTCTTGAACACTTCACGCTCGTAAAACATGGTATCCGGTTGATGCACAGTCTAACATAATCAGCAAAGCCCGATCATTCACAAACTCACCTGTTCTGGGCGATAGTACCAGCAAACAGAAGCATGGTGCGTCTGCTGGCCCTTGGTCGGCACAAACGTCTTGAAAATCTGTCCCACAATCGGTCTCGTCGGATCATCCGGGTTGATCAGATGCACATAATCTCCGACCCTATACGGGACACCCTTATGCCTAGCTTCGTCGGTGAAAACTCGGTCCTTGGTGCCGACACGGAAGGTGGTGATGGCGTACCCGACCTGGTCTTCGGAAGCACCGGCACGCATTTCTTGGGTGGCTTCGTGCAGGGAACGGGCGTTGCCTGGTCCGGCGGGGATGGAGGCGAACTGGGTGACGGAGGGCGCGGGAACACCGGAAGGAGGGAGGGGGATGGGGTACGGCGCTGTCAGAGCATTGTATAGTCTTTGCAGGACGAGCGTCTGGCCGTACTCTGGCGACCCATCGTGGTACCATCTCCTGGCTTTTTCAAACAGCCGGGCCATGTCCATGTCGAAATCTTTCAAGGTGAGGTAGCGGGCAGCATCGGCGGTAGCTGCGATTTTGGCAAAAGAGAGCGGGTATTCGTAGGAGAGGTAGGGGTTGCTGGGCGCTTCGGGGAGGACGTCGAGGACCTCGGCGAGGCGTTGGCCGCTGCTTTTGTCAGTCAAATTCTTGACAAGCAGGGGAAACTCACCTCGCATCCTTGTAGCCCTCTATGGCCCCCACGACAGCTCGTATTCTAAACGGCCATTGGTCCGGCCCCCCCGTCGTCCGCTCATAATCAGGGGCGTCCTCTCCCCACCATCCACTCCCCGGCACGCCCCCAGGCGCCGGGTTGCCCGAAAGCACTTCTTTAGGCCCCGACCATCTGGGCAGAGTAGCGTCTCGAGCGGCTACGACGGCCTGGTCTGCGGCGTATTGGGCAGCTTTGGCGGGGTCCATGGGGACATTGGGGGTGGCCGTGTAGGCTTGCTGCAGCGTCTGCGGTTGGGACATGCTGGAAAGAGCAGGGCGGGGAGATGGTTGGGCAGATTGGGGGGGGTTGGGGAGGGATGCAAAAGCAGGCGAGCGGGAGGAGCCAGCTACGGCGGACGGTTCGGGGATGGGGCTGAGGGTCTGGAGAAGGACCGGGGGGATGGAGGGGGCGGGTGTGACGGATTTTGCAGGGGTGACGGATGTGCGTTTGGGTCGTCTGCCGGGTTTGACGGGGCTGCTGTGGTAGGGATCTGTATGGGAGAAGGTGTGGGAGCTGGCAGCAAAGACCCAGTCTTGGTGGATCTGGTTTTCAAGGCGGGTTGCGTCGGCGTAGATTTGGGAGCCCTCTTCGTTGTCTGCGGGGGGTGAGGGGTAGAAGAAAGAGGGAGGTGGATGTACTGACAGTGTTTTGCGTTGAGAAAGACGAGATGGAGTTGTTTAAAGAACTGTTCAGGAGTCGCGTACGCCTGCGATTCGAGTTGGGCCTGAAAACATCATACATTAATTTCCATCTCTCCTTTCTCTTCCACCTCTCATCCCAGTTGCAACGGGTATCACGCACGGCAATGTTGTCGAGACACTCTGGCTCGGGGATGGCGGCGTAGTAGTCGGGAAAGTCGTCCTTGTCGGGCAGCGACTGGAATATTCTGCTGATCTTTCGGCTGCAAGCAATGTCAGCGCGCGTGGTACGGCCGACACGGCTCGTGGCTGGCGACATGTGCTGGGAGATACATGAGAGGCAGACGGCTACTCACCTGCCTGCTTTCGCGCCGTACACGGCGTCGAGGATGGCCGTACATGCGCGCCACTGGTCGCTTGGCATGCCGGCGGGGTGTGCGGGGTTGCTGGGGACAGGGTGGGGGGCCATGCTGCTTACTCTGAGATATGGAATATGGCTGCCTCTGCTCTCTATATCTTATACCCTGCCTGCCATAGATACGCCTTGTTGTGGTGTCAAAACATTGGAGAGGGCACCCCACATAGCAGATACCGGACATGGCCGCCGCGGCAAGCATATCCGTATCATTTATTTGTATCTCTGCCCGTCTCACACAGAATATCACAGCTCCATTTCCCCAGCATGCCCGGCAGCGGCTCGGACTCGGATCCCTCTCACCCGCCCCACAAGACCCTCCATCGCACCCAGGGCCAGCTCAAACGCAATGCCGCTTGTCACGAGTGCCGAAGGCGTCGAGTAAAGTGCGACGCAGCTCGGCCAACCTGCCAGAGCTGCATACGCTCCTATCACTTTCTCTCCAGGACGTATCCTGACGCAGAGAGGGACGCCAAGGGGGTGCAGTGTCACTACGGGGATGAAGACCACAACACAGACCGGCAGGAGCCAATCATTCCACCTCGGCCACCGAAGCGGAAGGCCGGGACTGCAAAGGGCGAGGCAGAGCAAAAGATCAAGATGCTCGAGGACAAAGTCGGTGAGTGTGTATGGCAACTACCAAGGAACGTACCAACACCGCATAGCCCAGCTACAGAAAGCCCTCGAGCAGGCGTCACCTTCCAAATCTCCGAGCGTGACTATCGAAAACACTTCCTCGCCGAGGCAGCCCCAAACCGCAGCAAAGGAGTCTGCTCTGCCTACAAACCGACCCGCCCCACTATGGTCAGAAGCACAAGGTACCACCCCGTTCCCTGCCAGCGCAAACAGCACCACCTGGTCTATCAACACCGCCCCAGCGAATCCATACGACCTCAGCCAGTCCTTTCCGGACCCTCAGCACTTTAGTGTCTTGAAGCCTGCCGATGGACGAGGGTCCGTAAAGCACCGATTGGACCACTTTGAGCAGTCTCTCGATCCACCGCCTGCCGATGCCGAGGCGGGTAGACTGGGGCCTGCTGTACTGGACATGCTCTGGCCTGGATGGCCACCCACGCTACCGACACCTTGTACGTCGTCTCTGCTGATCGTGATCCATGCTAACGTCTGCACAGCCATGGTCGACCATCTGTATGTTGATGCTGGCATGAAAGGCTTGCCGCTAACGCTGACGCAGCGCCGAAACATTCTTCAAATTTGTCCCTTCCATCTCCCGAGTGATCAACCGCCAGTCCTTCTTTGCCCGTCTCTCCCTCCCTCCCACCCACTCGGAATTTCCCCAACGTGCCCTCATCCACGCCATCTGCGCGGTCGCAGCACGCTATACCGCTGCTGTATCTGTACGCTCCGTCGCGGATGGTATGAAGATTGTCACGGAAGAGGCCAAGCGGGCGAACGGGAGAGGGGCAGAGACGGATCTGAGCATGGAGACGTGTTTTGCAGAGAGGAATGCGGGGTATGCGATGGAGTTTATGAAGTATAACCACATGAGCGCGAGGGGGATCTTTGACATCCTGCAAGCTATGGCAAGTCCCAACCTTTCGTCCTCTGCGTGGCGCTCATACTCTTTCAGATCGTGATGGGCCATTGGGGTCAAGCGCACTCGCGATGGATGGAAGGCTGGGTCCTCATGGGAGGCGCTACCAGGCTCGTCATCGGCCTCGGTCTCCTCGAACACACACCCCAATCCCCGCACTTTTCCCCCGCCATCAGTCGGTCCATCTTGGGCCCGCCAAGGTCGGATGCGGAGAGAGAAGAGAGGCGAGCAGCGGCGTACTACGTGATGATGTATGATACCACGCAGTCGGCTTCTTCTGGATGGGCGGGAACGATGCCGACTAGTGAGATGGTGAGTGATGTGCGATGCTTGACCGAGCGTTAACTGATCTGTGGGCAGAGTGCAAGGATGCCATCGTCCAAAGCAGACTTTGAGAGAGGCGGCGCCATACCAGAAAACTTTCAATCGTTCCATTCCCGAGACTTGTTCTACAAGTACGCCCCTACAAACTTTTCTCAAATGAAGCTGACACCCGCATAGTCACCCCATAGTAGACTCCTTCGTCCTCTTGGTCAAGGGCCACGTCCTCCTGCACCGCACATGTCAGTTCATCCGCCGCTGTCGTGCCATGGACCCAGACGAGCGAGAGCTGTTGAGAGACGGCCCCGACTTTAGGCAGCTGGACGGGGATATTGCTATGCTGAGCATGTCGTTCCCTCAAGCGTTGAGGGAACCCGTGCAGTATATGAGCGGCTATGCGAAGGGTGTCGACGCTGATCTTATCGTACGTGCACCCTCACTTCATTTCAATATCGCTGATGATAGAATAGAGCGCGCATCTGATACCCCGTATTACGGCCATATACTTGCACGAGCCGTTTGCACACCTCGATGACCCCAACTCGGTGTCGGCGACTCGTGTTTTGACTGAAGCCAGAGCGTGTCTCAATATCGTCTACCTGGTCATCAGCAGTAATGCTGATATCTCGTTCACTGTGACCCCTATCACGTCTTGTAAGTATCTTTTGACTTTAGTGGACTATGCTGGAATTTGCTGTTAGTGTATCTTTTCACCGCCAGCCGGGCTCTGCTGCTGTTCTACCAACGTGCTCTGGAGACTGGAAATTCGGCAGAAGCGACCACCATACATGGTGAAATATCCGTCTTCAAGTAGGTCCTTACGTCCCTCCTGAACGATCAACCACCCACACTCTACAGGATGGCATTCACCTCCCTCTCTACCCGTTTCGCTATGGGCGTCCGCCATTTGATCCTGCTCGAAAAGATGATGGAACACATCGAGGAAGATGTCCTAGGCCAAGTCGTCACCAACCCCGACTTTTCAGCCCTCTTTTGCCGGCCATCACGCGCATTCCCGAACGGTATCACCGATGTCGATTCCGCCACAGGCCAGATCCCTGGTATCCGGGGGCAGGATGAGATACCGGGCTTTGCCTCCCTAGGCGGGGAAGCCGTTTTCCCAGAGACGCACCCGGATGGGATGATCGCGATCGAGCTCGACAGGTCGGCGGCGCAAGGGAGAAGCAAGGCAGGGCGGAATGTGCTGCAAGCCATGTTGGATCACAAACGCAACTATGTGGGACCTAGCTCAAGGTCGACTAGTGGGAGTGGGAGTCAACCTGGGTCGGGGGGACCGAGTCCGAGCGATGCTTATAGATGGCTGGACAAGCAGCAGGGGATGGGACAAGTGCCGATGCAAGGGCAGGGGCAGGGGATGGGAGCGGGGTATCACCCGGGGCCAGCACAAGTGTATGTGCAGCAGCCGCATATGTGCACAGCGAGCTCGACGGGGTCGGATATGATGTATGTGCAGAGCCAGTCGAGTATGCAAGGGCAGGGGCGGTTTACGATGTTGAGTCCTGAGCAGGTGGACGGGGGGAGCGGACACTCGTCGAACTCGACGGGTCCACATTCTTAGATATGATAATTGCTGCCTACTATACTATCATTATTGTGATATTATGCATACCTGCCTATGGGATTCCGAAAACTTGATTGGTACGCCGCCGCCATTACATGCCGACCTTGACGGATGCGGAGGAACTCGGCAGGGTTCGCCAGAGCATGCAGAGTGAGACCTTGCTGCTGCGCTCCAAGTGAGAGAAATAGGACATTGGAAGAGAAAAGACATTCGTTAATAAGGCTCGTCGGAAATTATTGCAGTCGATAACGATATCTGAAGCGAACGCTGGGGGGGAGCGCCAATGAAAAGCGGGGTGGACATCTAGGGCTCAGGGAAATGGCGGGGGACGCACATGGTTCGCTCCTCTGACGCTCTGAGTCTGTACCCAGGTTCTCGTGTGATGCTGCTGCCCTCGGTAATGATGCGGGGACGTGCGACTCTCTGCTCGCGTGGGCTCTGATAACGTCAGAAGCAGCTGATTGGCTCAGATAACATATGCGAAGCCCGATAAGTTTGCACAAACTTTGTCTCTGATTCGCCCGTGGAGTCGCCGTCTCATGATCACACAGCGCGGCAGCGGCTATCTGGGTATATATACTCCACGGTCCTTGACCCATCCTCTCTCTCTTCTTGACTTGTTCTTTAGTATACTTTCCATCTCTTTTAATCCGCCACAGACATGTCGCTTTCAGAGAAGCAAGGCTACAGCAGCGGAACACAAACGCCGTACGAAACGTCGAAAAAGGATGGTGGTGTCGATACCATTGTCGCTCCTGCTAATGGGGAGCAAGGCGGGTACGCCGGCGAAGGCAGTAAGTCCCACTTCTACTTTCATCACATCCATTCAGCTGACATTGTCTGCTCAGACTTTGTGCGCCCCGCCGAGGGAGGTGTTCACCGACAACTGAAACAGAGACATATGGCGATGATCGCACTGGGAGGTTCGTCCCCTGGGTCAAACCACAACTCATGTATTGATCATACTTTTGCCAGGTGCTATCGGTACCGGTCTCTTCGTTGGATCCGGAAGTGCTCTCGCTACAGGCAAGTTGATTCCCGAGACATTGACGTTCCTAGGAACATTACTGACCGCGAGCAGGTGGTCCGGTTGGTCTTTGGCTGGCATACATCTTGATGTCATCGATGGTGTACGCGATGATGGTGGCGCTGGGAGAAATGGCCGGTGAGTATTTATTGCCCTTCCCAATGCTTACTGACGAGTCACCAGCTTTATACCCCGTGTCTGGAGCTTTTACGCATTACGCCGCTAGATTCGTCGACCCGAGTCTCGGCTTTGCCTTGGGTTTCAATTACTGGTACTCGTGAGTCCTTACCATTGTAAAGCAGGCGCATGACTTATGCTGGTCTACAGATACGCTATAACTATTCCTACGGAAATTGTTGCCGCGACTATCGTCATCAGTTATTGGGACGCGGACACAAATGCCGCCGTCTATATCACTGTTTGTCTCGTCTTGATTTGGGCTATCAAGTGCGTTCTCGTCGATCGATACTCACACAGACTGACCCTTTTCATAGCTTCCTGGGAGCTAAGGCGTATGGCGAGGCTGAATTCTGGTACGTATAACCGCGGACTTGCGATCATCTCTAACCCTCTTGTAGGTTCTCCTCTATCAAAGTCATTACTATTGTTGGTTTGATCATTCTCGGTATCGTACTTATGTGCGGCGGTGGTCCCGTAAGTGCAATCGTATCCCGTTTTCCTACTCTACACAAGCTCACGGCGCAACAGAATCACGATGCCATCGGTTTCCGATACTGGCGAAACCCCGGCGCGTTCAACCAGATTTCTGCTGGTGACGGTGTCATTGGGGGCAGATGGGGACAATTCTTGGCTTTCTGGGATGTCTTTGTGCAGGCCGCCTTCTCCTTCATCGGTACTGAGATCATTGCCACCACCATCGGTGAGGCTGAAAACCCCCGAAAGACTGTGCCCAAGGCTATCAAGCGTGTCTTCTTCCGGTGAGTCCTTAACTCTGCTTTAGCATGGCAACTGTCTGACCAGATCATTAGATTGTTGTTCTTCTATGTCATGGGCACCTTCATCATTTCCGCTCTCGTCCCCTACACCGAACCCAACCTCCTGAACGGCTCTGGTACCGCGGCCGCCTCTCCTTTCGTCATTGCTATCCAGAATGCTGGTATCAAGGCTCTCCCTTCCATCGTCAACGCCGTCCTTCTCATCGCTGCCTGGTCCGCCGGTAACTCTGATCTTTACGCTTCTTCCCGTACGCTCTATGCTTTGGCGCTCGAGGGTCAGATGCCTAGGATCTTCAGGAGGTGCACCAAACGAGGTCTGCCCATTTACTGTGTGGCGATCACCGGTATCTTCGGTGTACTTGCGTACATGAACACTGGTGGCAAGTCTGCCGAGACCGCTTTTGACTGGCTCTATAACCTCTCTGCTATTACTGGTATCATCACCTGGTGGTAAGTTGCCCTCGTATTGCCGAGTCTGGGACTGTTACTGACTTTTGTGTAGGGCGATCTTGTTGGCGTACCTCCGATTCTACTATGGCCTCAAGAAGCAGGGCCTCACCCGAGATGAATTCCCTTACAGGGCGCCTTTTCAACCGTACCTCTCGTGGTACGGTTTCCTCTTCTTCTCCGTCATCATCCTCGTAAGTCCCTCTCGTCCCTCCATAAATACTGAACATGCACTCATGCTCGTTCAGTTCAACGGCTTTACCGTTTTCCTCAAAGGCAACTGGGACACTTCCAGTTTCGTCGCGGCTTACATCACCCTCCCCATTTTCGCCGTCTGCTGGATCGGTTGGAAGGTTGTCAAAAAGACCAAGATGGTGCCTCTGGATCAGATCGATTTCCACACGGGAAGGAGAGAGTTGGATGAGGAGGAGTTGGCTGATAATGAAAAGTTCAGGGAGGACACCAAATTCCAAAAGGTTATGGGAATTTTGTTCTAGGATGCTTTTGTCATTTTGCTGTAGGAGTGCAGGATTGTGAGGGAAGTTGCATCATTGTTCGAAAAGGTGATTTCTTAATAGTTGTTATTATCCATTAGTCGTTGTCATGATAGATATTCACTGGGATGCATGTGTCTTTGGCGCTTGCAAGCACGGATCATCGGGGCATCCAGGTGTTCCAGGTCTGGCTCCAGGACTACTCCGGAAATGATTGTGAAAGTGTGAAAGAGCTGAAGACCAGAAGGATCGAAAGTAGGAACCACACAAGAACTGAAGTCCAAAAAGGTACGATGTGTCTCGACTCTCGGGCACACTGGCATCATCAGCTTGCGTTTACACTTTCATTCTTTCATTCTCGAAACAGTTGACTCGTTCGTCGACGACCAATCACCATGCGGGACGTGGCCTGCTGGTCTCCTGCACAGCGGGGATTAAAGCCCCTCTCCACCCGATCTCTCGTAAGCGTCGTGATTCCTCGCCGCTCCACAAGATCCAAAATTATGGTCATGGGCTTATCTCTCGCCTCTCCCGCATGGGCTCGCTACATTAGATAAAGGTCTTTGTATCTTCATCATCTTCCTATCAGAACACATTACTTCAACCTGCCCCTATAATTTCGACTCTAGATCCAGGGAACTTTCGTCGTACCAATCGGACAGGCGAGGTTCTAAGCGAAGCCTCCCAACAATTTATTTTCGAGGAATCCACCGCCTGCCATTTTTGCCGTAGCCGCCCGCTGTTACTCTACATATTTATCTCTTAATTTGATACAGCAATACACCAAGGTTACAGGATGGCTGATCTTGAGAAGGACGACAAGCTCGGCGGGTCGCAGTACCAGACCGCGTACGAGTCGGAGAAGGGCGCTGAGGGAAATTCTCTGGACCCTCATGCTGGAGAGCTGGGTGGATGTGAAGGCAGTGCGTTTCATCCCTCGTCTACTCGAGTGTATGGACTGAGACATCTCATAGATACCTACCATCCCGGAGAAAATCATGTCAAGAGGCAATTGAAGCAGCGGCATATGGCGATGATCGCCCTTGGAGGTTTGTCCACTTGGTCAAGCCAAAAAATGCTGTACTGATCATACCTTCACCAGGTGCCATCGGTACTGGTCTTTTTGTTGGATCTGGAAGTGCTTTGTCTTCAGGAGGTCCGGTTGGACTCTGGCTTGGCTACATTTTGATGGGGACTATGGTTTACGCGATGATGGTGGCTCTGGGGGAGATGGCTGGTGAGTTCTGTTGACCTTTACGAAGGAGTCTTTACTCACAAGACATAGCTCTGTTCCCTGTTGCCGGAGGGTTCGTACATTACGCTAGTCGCTTCTGTGACGAGTCGCTTGGGTTTGCCACAGGTATCAACTATTGGTACAGGTACGTTCAATCAGATATATGTTAGAATGCCAGAGCTCACGATGATCAGTTATGCCATCACCATTCCCACCGAGATTATTGCTGCGCAGATTGTCATTACTTATTGGGACAGCAACACGCACGCTGCTGTCTACATCACTGTCTGTCTTGTCTCCATTTGGTTCATCAAGTGCGTAGCCATCTACTCGTGGTGTTCTAGCTGACCCTCCATCAGCTTTCTGGGCGCTAGGGCGTATGGCGAGGCTGAGTTCTGGTGCGTTCATTCATGGCAGTATCTGCGATCTTCTCTCATACTACTGCAGGTTCTGTGCAATCAAAATCATTGCCATCGTCGGCTTGATCATTCTCGGTATCATACTTATGTGTGGTGGTGGTCCCGTAAGTCACATATCACTCCCTTGCTCTGCAGACTGACAAAACTGCAGGACCATGACGCCATCGGGTTCCGATACTGGCGCAACCCCGGACCTTTCGCCCAGATGACCATCAATGGCGGTGACGATGTCATTGAGGGGACCTGGGGCCGTTTCCTTGCGTTCTGGAACGTCTTTGTTCAGGCTGCCTTCTCTTTCATCGGTACTGAAATCATTGCCACTACCCTCGGCGAGGCCGAGAACCCTAGGAAGACCGTTCCCAGGGCTATCAAGCGAGTCTTCTTCCGGTGAGTATCATATCATTCATCCGTGATGGCCGAGCTGACAAGCCGTAGAATCCTCTTCTTTTACGTTGGCGGTATCTTTGTCATCTCTGTCCTCGTCCCCTACAACGAACCCAACCTTCTCAACGGTTCTGGGACCGCCGCTGCTTCTCCTTTCGTTATTGCCATTGAGAACGCAGGTATCAAAGCACTGCCCTCCATCGTCAACGCCGTGCTGCTCATCTCTGCGTGGTCTGCGGGCAACTCGGACATGTATGCTGCCTCGCGTACCTTTTACGCGCTGGCGCTTGATGGACAGCTGCCGCGGATCTTCAGGAGGTGTACGAAGAGCGGTCTGCCCATCTGGTCGTTGGTCATCACCGGTGCTTTCGGTCTTTTGGCGTACATGAATACTGGTGGAGAAACCGCAGAGGAGGCTTTCAACTGGCTTTACAATCTTTCTACCATCACTGCCATCGTGACCTGGTGGTAGGTTTTCAAGACCCTTAGTAAAATGAAGGAAGCTCACTATCTTTTAGGACTATATTATTGTCGTACCTTCGGTTCTACTATGGTCTCAAGGTGCAGGGCATCAGCCGTGAAGATTTCCCATACAAGGCTCCCCTGCAGCCATACCTCTCCTGGATTAGCTTCGTCTTCTTCACCGTTGTAATTCTCGTGCGTATCTCCTCTATCGATGATCAAAGACTTAAATACTGATAAGGTTTTCTGCAGTTCAACGGCTTCACAGTGTTCCTCACCGGTAATTGGGATACCGGAGACTTCATCGCCGCCTACATCACTCTCCCAATTTTTGCTGTATGCTGGGTCGGGTGGAAGTACTGGAAGAAGACCAAGTGGATCCCTCTAGCCGAGATTGACTTTGAAACTGGCAGAAGGGAATTTGACGAGTTGGAGGTCACCGACAGGGAAAAGTACATGGCGCAGAACAAGTTTGAGAAAATCATGGACTTCATCTTCTGAGGGGCTCGTCTTTTAGCGACCGTACAGAGGATAGCTATCTGTGGCGACGATCAGAATTGTCGAGAGTTGGAGGGCGTAGGGGTTTGGAAGAAGAGTTCGCATGATTCTTTTAATTCTTTCGTGTTTTTGAGCATTGTAGTTCCTAGCTTTGTAGCATTTGTAGTCATCACATATCCAGTAGTGTCGGGTTTTATCATCATTCCATGTAATGTCCGTCATCATTCCAATGGTGCAGTTCGAAGACAAGCAGCAATCAAAGTCCTCGAACGAAAAAGGTCAACGTGGGAAGCTGGGGTTGGCTGCGTTTGTCGTTTCATTACCCTGGTCCAGGGGAGTACAATCAGACGATTTGTAGATATAGCTGCTATTGAAATATTCATGTTATTCACAAGACTAGGCTGGGCGTTCACACAAGATGTTCTTTGGGGAGGAGAGAGGCAGACATAAGGAATTCGAGGCATTCATGACTGTTGGTGTACCTCAAGGTGTGAATCCATCCCGTCCTTCAAGAAAGGCGAAGAACACCTATTACGTCTTCGCAATGCCATTGCTCTGTTTGCACAGATGTCTGAAGTGGTCTTTCGCGCGTTTTTGGACACCGTTCATGCGGCTCAACGCCGTGAGGAAGCCGACAATTCTGGTTCTCAATCGGCAAACCCGTGAGATCTCCCGATTGGGCAGCGACGTCAGAATCCTCAAGGCCGTCCGACGAGGTGTCAGGCTCTTCGGGTTGTTCTGAGCCTGAAGAAGAAGCCCTTCCCGGCTGAGAACGATGTGGAGCAGGATTGTCTGTTGTGCGAGGGATGTGGCTTGAGATTGACGAGGCTGTAGTACCAGAGCTCTGTGAGATGGGATAAGATTTTCAGCAAGACGGGGAGGTCACATTGATCTACTCACATCCTGGACAGTTTGGGGACACATGTCACAAGACGAGCTGGCGCGACCAGCGCCAGTCAGAATCCGGTCCCCTGGGTAGCGGTGTGTGGAGTTACTAGTAGCACTGTTGGAGCTTGAATGTTGAGAAAGGGCTCGGGATTGGGTTGGAGCCGTACGCGTTCGGCTCGACGCAGGCTCTTTTCCCGCTGCTTCCTGTTGCAAGCTTTACGAACGTACACTAGACTTCTTCTGCTTCTTGCTGTGTCTGGCGGCGGCAGCAGGGAGACGTTCGTCGGACTCGTCTTCTGGATCCGGGTTCACAGGGCGCACCCTTTTGTCTTCCCTCTTTTCTGCTTCCTCTGTCAGCTATGCTCCTGGAAGGCTGTATTGATGTGGTACTCACCCTCCCCTGCGGCTCGTCCAAAACTTCTTCTTCTTCTGGAGATTGTCCGCCCTCTTGGCGCTCCAAGTCGCGGACGTGGTCATCATCGTCTAGCTGAGACTCCTCGCCCTCTTCTGATTCAACGTCGGTGGTGGTATCAGTATCATCAGCATCGTCAACAAGGCTGTTGTACTCGGCTGCTGATCGTTGAGAGTTTGGGCTGCCCTTGCCACCCTTCGACGGATCCTTGCGCTTTGCCCCGACACTTTTTCTGCCCACCTAGAGACTATTACTCGCCGGAGTAGTTAGGGAGTCGGCCCGTGAGGTTCGAGCCATCTCAATCCAGAGGAGGAGGACAATAACGAACGACTGGAAAGAAAACAGTGAAGCGAATAGATGCCGTCTCGCTGGTATCCTGTGCGCGATCGGAACCATCTTGTACCTATGACATCCGTGAACATCCCGGCGGCCGGCGGTTATGAAGCTTCCGGGCGACCCTATGAAGTCTGACCAAAGTTATCAGGACTCAGAAGTAACCCGCTGCTCTGCTCATAGCCGTCTCCACCCCCTTCCCCTCCAGCCCCCATGGTCCGCATCGCCCTCGCCCAGACCAACCCCCTCTCCGCCCCTCCAGGCATCCCCTCCCTCGAAAAGCCCCACTCCACCTCTCCCTTCCCCTCCATCGACTACAATCTCACCGATGCCGTCCAGTGCGTCGAACAGGCCGTCAAGCAAAGCGCAGATGTGGTCGTCTTTCCAGAGTACTTTCTGCAGGGTATTGTGAACGAGAACAGGCAGGTGCGTGGACGGGTGAATTGAAAGCTATGTGACTGACGCAAAGTAGTACTTGACATTTGCCTCGCAATACCTATTGGCGTTCTTCCAAGAGCTCGCCAAAGAGCACAAAGTTGCTCTCGTTGGCACGATTGTCCACGGATCCCGCTCCAACGCTCCATTCCCTCAAGTAAACCCGTTCTCCCATATTCCCCTCCGTTCAGGCTCCTCCACATCCGCCGAGCACAGCAAGATCACGTCTGCCCAGCTTGAATGGGCCAAGTATTTCGAGCAGCACCCGCTCAGCACAGAGGAAGGAGTTGAACCAGTGGCAAAGAATATCGCATTCTTCATTGATGATGAAGGCAAGGCTGTGGGAGAGTATGTAAAGCAAAACCTGTGGCACCCCGAGAGGTCAGTTCTTTTCACTCTTCCGGTATGAGTAGAGCTGACGGGAGGTGTAGAGAGTACCTCAAGCCCGGAGTTGAGCCCAGGCAGGTCTTTGACACCAAATGGGGTAAGGCCGGTCTTCTCATCTGTACGTCTCAATCCCAGTTCCGCTTGTCACCAGTACTCAGCTTGAATTAGGCTGGGACATGTCCCACCCCGCCGCCGCTCAAGACCTTGCCAACCTGGGAGCAGACATCATCTTCACTCCTACTTACTGGATGGCCACGGACAGCGAACCGTACGTCTCCTGTCCCATGTCCTCACTCTTGAAGATGCTGACTTTTTCTGAAAGTCTGATCCACAAACATCAACATGACCCCGACTACGAGACTACTGTTGTCTCGGCCCTCTGCCTCACTAGGTCTTTCGAGACAGAGACGGTATTTGTCATGTCTAATGCAGGCGGAGATGCGCGTGAAGGGTTCATGGGCGGAAGTGGAGTTTGGGCGCCATTGAGAGGCAGGGTAGGAGGCTGTGGTGTTGGAAAGGAGGTGAAGATTGTGGATGTTGATGTTGGTGTTTTGAAGGTGAGTAGAACCAGCGGGAGATGGAAACAAATAGCTAATTCGACATGCAGGATGCGAGAGAGACGTATAAGATCAAGGAGGACTGGAGTCGCAAGAACGCCACTTAGTCCTAATTCATGATGATATAAGATAAGAAGCACTACTCGCTATGATCTCTACAAGCTTTGACCATAGCCGGAAGCTGCTATGTATGCTGCTGATAAGAAATCGAAAGCTACCAAGTTGCAGCTAGCACTGACGATGATGACAGCTTCTCAGCTACATCCTGAGGGTCTTTCACGACGGAGCGTAGTGTAACTGCGCACGGCATGACATTATTCATACTAGTACAGCAGCAAGCCCGCGCTACTTTTACGGGAAAAAAAGGTTTTATCTCATTATAAAATTGTGGTGGACGCTTCGATACCACTCACAACCACAGCGCTCTCTTAAAAGCATAGTCCATTTTTGCCAGGAGAGTAGTGGAGGACTCTGCTTCCGTTAGGCTACCACAAGAGTCAGCAACCTCAAGTGACAAACACAGACATGGTATTTACCTGACAATGTCTTTCTCCACAACCAGCCCGTCCCTCTTACACGCCTTCTCTAGTTGAGAAACAATGTCCTTTACCGTCTCCATACACGTCGCGTCACCAGACTGCCCAGGCAATGCTTTGAAAGCAAAGAACTCTTTGGCGAGCGGATCTATCGACGCATGTTGCACCGACGGGAGTGGGGTGTGCGGAGGATGTTCTGAGCTGGCAGCAGAAGGTGGCGGTGCCTTGTTGCGTAGCGAGTAAGTGCTATACCGCGTCGACTCGTCTGCGGGAGAGAATTGTATGATGAGGCCAGCGTTTTCCTTGGGATCGCGGCTGGCTTCTTGGAGGGTGGAGAGGATGTAAGCGCCGCGTTGAATTTGAGTTATGCTAGCAAGGGGGATTCGGGTGAATTCGGTGACCTTCTCGAGGGAATAGTTGAAGGAGGCGACATAGATGGCCTTTTGGGTCTACCGATTTGAGTCAGCTATGCCGGTGTGGCGATGGAAGAGGCCTACCAAGATAAGGATCTTCTCCTCAGTGGCCGAGCTGATTCTGATACTCTTGGCCTCGGGGGAGAGAAGGATCCAGCCCCCAATCTTGTCTTCACCTTCACTCAACACCCTTGCAGAGCACGTCTCGACTGCAGTTCCATCAGCACCCACCACATGAAAGCAGAGTCAGACTCACTCGCGACGTTTCGTAACCTGTCCAGCTTGATCACACTAACCGCATCTTCACTCGTAAGCGTTTCCAAAAACTCGCTGAACACTGCGAGATTGCGGTGGCCAAGGAGGAAGGAGATGACGGCTTGGGCGAAAAAGTCAGAGATGGCGCCGTAGAACATGCGACTGAGCGAGCTGACTCCGTCGTGCAACTGATCGCTGTCAGTAATTACATCGACGGTGATCCGGAAGACTCACCATCCCAGAGAAATCTCGCTTGCCAGTCCTGACAAAGTCACCCTTAAGAGCAGAAGTATGCGCATAACAGAGACTGATCATGTCTCCGTTGTTGGCCCATATGTCGTTGAAGACGTTCTCGACGACCGGCCCCTCGGCTTGAAGTCCAAGCTGGATAAGCATATGCACAAGAACGCGCCGGGCGATGGCGGATTGGACAACATTGGTTCGGTCAAGACAGTCAATGCAGCTATTACACATCAGATCCATTCTGTCAAAGAGTTTGCAGGACTTACTTTGTTCTGAAAGCGCCTTGTTGTTCTCGAAGAGCCTCCCCTTGCAATGTCCACAAGTACCCCATTGTCTCGAAATCCAACGAGTCCACCAGCTCTACAATGTTTTCCCACTTCATCCCGGAACACTTGGCGTGGAAATCAAACTCGGCATATGTAACGTCGTCCCGTTCCAGTTCGGTGGTGAGCTGCTTGTAACCGTTTGTGATCGGAGCTTCTTTACCATGCTGCTCGGATAGGTTGATGATTGTCTGTCGGGAGTCAGTAAGAGTTTATATAAGAACGGGACACTCACAATGTGACCATATCGGGAAACGAGATCATTAAAGTGCAGATTGGCCACTGCATACGTCTTGTCGACAGGCTCGTTCAGGACCGGAGGCGGTTTCATAGAGTAAGGTGATTGAGACCAGCGCAGAGGGATAGACCCTCGGACTTGAGTAAAACTAAACAAGGACATTTTCCCTTCGACCTGTGGCCTGTCAGTTCAGGATAATCGACACAAGCTCGACGTACCTTGGCTCGTACAGCCATCTCAGTCTCCACCATGTTTGCAACATGCCCATTGTCGTCTATCCCTCTCCTCTGATACCTCAATCCCGCCCGATCTCTACTTCTTCTAGAGATTACCGCAATATCCACTGGGACTCCGCTTGTCTGCGCAATGGGGTCAAGAGGGCTGGGCGGGATGGGTATCGTAAAGGTTGACGACTGGACCCATCCCTGCATGACAGGAACGACATAAGAATGAAGTCCTAGATCGATAAAGTCCTTCATGAGATATTCGTTCCAGAAGAAGCGTTTGTCGGCTCTGCGCCATAGCGGGACGTAGATGTCGGGCTCGACAAAGTCCTCTCCAGTAGAGTGCCCGGTGGCGGTGTCGTTACTCGATCGGAGGGTGCTAGCAACAGAGGGAGGAAAGAGCGAGTTCTCTTTGGGGATGAGATCGGCCAGCGCAGCACCTGATGCAGCCCGTTGGGAGACGGTGTGCCGCTTCGCCTGCAAGCTGTGCGTGATATCAAAGTCATACGAGAAGAAGAAACCATTCTCAAACTCCCTCTTGATTTGCCGCACAATCTTCTCCTCCAGCTCTTGTCTCTTTGGGGGTTCCGCGGAAGATTCAGATCGCTTTCGGAATTTGGGGATGAACTTGGTCCATTGGCGGGCCTTGGTCGGGATGGGTGACTCGTCCGCTTCTGGTGTCAAGGGCTCGTCATCGTCCTCGTCCTCGTCCGAGGAGGCAGCAAGATGGTCGCGTTCTTGAGGCAAAGCACCTGCACCTGAGATCGGGATCGCCAAGCTCCATCTTGTTGCAGATTTCGGTTTGGGCTTGCGTGACTCTTGCAGAGCAATGAGACGCTTGATGGAGACAGCTGAACCGTCTCGGGTGAGAGGAATGGCATGTATATCTCCCAAGGTGTAGACCTCGTGCGAAGGCTCGTCGTCGTCGTGGGGAGGAAAAAGAGGGGTGCCGGTGCGGGGTAGGAACACAAACAAGTATGCAGCTACGATATAAGCTCGAGTATCGACGGATTGGACTCACCATCCCATAGTCTTGCAATGCCCAGCACGCCTCCTAGGACGAGCTCGCCCTCCTCTGCGCCGTCGAGAGGCTCGATCTTGCCCCTGACGCCCCAATGAATGAGTACGCCCGGCGCTCCTCCCGGCGGAGCGAGGATGATGCCGGCGTCATGGGGGAGGAGGTGGATGCGGCGGTGGAGGGTGGGGGGCAGGGGCGGGACGGTGAAGCGCGGGGGGAGGGACGGGGCGGGGGACATCTTGCGGCGATGGTACGATGGCAAGTCGAAGCCGCAACAACAACAAATCAACAATCCTCCACCCATCTTCTGACGTCATCAGCTTCTACCTATACAAAACGACCACAATTCGGACTCCTTCTCTTCGTGCATAATGTCTTCAAGAATACACCGCAACTTTGCCATTCTTGCCCAGCGAGAGCAAGTCCGGCTGGAAAACTCGACAGCATACACTGCCAACCCCAAAGAGGTGCATCCTTTCTACTCGGTCAAGAACTCGCTCGCCCACAGGCATGACAACCGCTACTCCAACATTCTCGCATACGACAGGACAGCTGTAGTCGTGGACGGCAGCTATCTCAATGCAAATGTGGTAGACGACGGCAAGGGGGGGTTATGGGTCGCTGCTCAAGTGGGTCTGGAGCTACGGTTACTGCGCACAGCTCACCCATGGCACAGGCGCCTCCTCCACAAGCATTTGACTCGTTCTTCAGGGCCCTATATACGGGGGCTGCCATAGGAAAGCAGCCAAAAGATGCTTTGATTGTACAGCTCACAGGCTGGGAAGAACGAGGAATTACCAAGGCGGATCCGTACCTGTAGGTCTACCGGTATGATACTTGCCCTTTGCTCACTTGCAATAAGGGATCACAAGATGGACGGTATCGAACTGCTGAATACGGGTAGGTACCGCCTGGAGGGGCTCTCCAGCACACTGTCCGAGATGGTTCTGCAAGGCGAGGACAGAAGCGTCAACTTGCATCATTACCATTTCGATGCTTGGCCAGACCATGGTGTGCCGCAAGGGACAGGAGTGCAAGCCCTTCGGGAATTGGTGCTGGAGATTGAGGCAAAGAGAAAGGAGCTAGACTGCGAAGTATGGGTGCACTGGTGAGTCAACATAGAGGCGTGGCTTACGAGGTGCTGACGGCATGTTAGTTCTGCTGGCGTCGGGCGTACCGGCACGTTCATAGCACTGTCGTCACTTCTCACGCCTGGAGTAGCATTCCACAAGTCTCCTTTAGGCTTGCTCCCTGAGGCGATACACGATGACATGGTGGCGCAGACTGTGGACACGATCAGAGAAAGTCGGGGAATGTTGGTGCAGAACCTAGAGCAGTACAAGTTGATTTATGAGATGCAATGAGCGCTCTCCCAGTCTGTCTATAGACTCGGCCCGTTGTGATCACAAGATACCTGTAAATAAGACGCCGCCGGGCATTCACGGTACACGGTGTTGTTTTTGGCAGCCTCCGATTCGCGCCGGTATTCGTTCCTGGAAAGTGCAAAAGTCAAGAACCAAGCTTGTCCGTCTCTTTCATCCACTTTTCTTATACACTCCGGCACGATGCTCGCCCCCGCTCTAACTAGGGCTGTCTGCAGATCGCTAAGAGCAGACGCCCAAGCAGCCCGCTTCCCTCATCGCGCCTTTTCATCGGCCCCCTCAAAGCACTCTTTCGCCCGCCAGACCCCTCGCCCAATAAATCTCCCCTTCTTCACCCCCTCATCACGGACCTCTTTCTTCTTCCCCTCCCACACCTACAAATTCCCCAGATCCCTCTCTACCGCTGCTCCCAAAGCCAAGGCCGACCCGGTATACGATGATATCCCAAGATCGCTGCCGTACTGGCTGTATGGCTGTTCGGCAGTCGTCTTTGGGATCGTAGTCATTGGAGGCCTGACACGGCTGACAGAATCGGGGCTGAGTATTGTGGAGTGGAATCCCATAACGGGTATCCTGCCGCCAATCACCAAAGCGGACTGGGATCTGGAATGGGAAAAGTACAGGGTGTCGCCGGAAGGGATAATGATGAACGCCAACATCAATATCGACGAGTTTAAAAAGATCTTTTACATGGAGTGGGGTCATCGACTTGCCGGGCGTGCTCTTGGTATGGGGTGTGTATACTCTTGGATTATGGAAGCAAAGTTGACTGGTCGCAGATTCGTTATTCCCACGATCTACTATCTCGCCCGCTACAAGCTTCCCCGTCCCCTTCCCATGAAGCTTCTCCTCATCGGTCTCGGTATTGGATTCCAAGGGGTCCTTGGGTGGTGGATGGTCAAGTCTGGTCTCGATGAGCAAATCATTAAAGACAACAGCGTCCCCCGAGTCTCTCAATACCGTCTTGCTGCCCACTACACTGCTGCTGTCGCCCTCTACGTCGGCATGCTCTCTACAGCTATCGGCATACATCGCGACATGAAGCTGGCCAAGAACCCGGCCATTATTCAGGCGCTCAACAAGCCCGCTGTGAAAAAGTTCCGTGGATTGGTTCATCTTTCTGGGATGATGGTCTTTTTGACCGCTGTCACTGGTGCTTTCGTGGCGGGATTGGATGCCGGTCTGATATATAACGAGTTCCCCTACATGGGTGAGGGATTCGTACCACCAACGGAGGATCTGTACGACCAGAGGTACGCCAAAAGCGGATCTGACAAGATCTGGAGAAATATGTTGGAGAATCCCGTTACTGCTCAATTTGATCACCGTGTTTTGGTAAGTATACTATAAAGACGGGCATAGACAGTGTTGACTCTGGTGTAGGCCACCACGACATTTACCATCCTCTGCACTCTGCCATTCGCTGCCCGGCGTCTGCCTTTCAAAAGCTCTCGCCGTCTCGCAGGCCTTGCTACAGCTGCCGCCGTCACCCAGGTCTCGCTCGGTATCAGCACTTTGCTCTACCTTGTACCGATCCCTCTGGCTTCGATGCACCAGGCAGGCAGTGTGTTGCTCCTGACGGCCATTTTAGCTCTCGGCGGGTCGTTGAGAAAGCCCAGCAAGATGATGAAGATGATGCGGGTGGCGAAGAGATAGCGAGACATCGATAGACTCCATTTTGGTTGTTTTTGAGCATTCTGCATATGCATCCACCGCTTAGTTACATCAATCACCTGAAGAAGTCTGCAAAGTATGGGTCTTTTTGCGATACGACCGGTCACTTGATAGGCTTATAGTAGCATTGGACACTTTCTTCGATGCCAATTACGCCTTCCTGGAAGCATGCATCCAAACCAGACCCTTTTTTAAAGACATGGACGATTCCAACGAAGGAGTTGACCTCCACCGGAAATCTCGATCGGATTTGGAGTTGTTGTTGGCCGCGCAAAATGTTTTAAACCTCCTCTGTCACCGTCCATCTCCCTATCCCCCATTCCCTGTGTCTATCCCGCCACCATGGGCCGCTCCAAGAAACACTCCTCCAAGAAACCCCCTCCCAAGCAACGCCCCCCTCAGCCAGAACAGCCCCAGCCATCGAGCTCCAACTCGACCACCCTCCCTCCCCTCCCCGCCTTCCCCCTTCCTCCACCGCATACTCTCCCACCCGTCATGGACCCCACAAACGCCCACTCGCCCCCTGCCAACTCCCAATACCACTCACATCCCCCCACGCCCCACAACCACAACCACCCCGCACACTCGCACTCGCACTCGCATTCGCAGCACCAACCCATGACCCCCGCCTCTCTGTCGGCCGCCCTGCACACCTGGTCTGCCAATGCTCTCAAGAGCATGGGCCTGAATATGGGCGGGGAGGGAGAAGGAGGTATGGGGCTGCCGACGTTGACGGAGAGTCAGATCAGGGGCTTGACGGGGGGAGGAGCGCTGGGGGATGGAGGGTTTTTCATGGGGCCTGCGAGGCCGTCCGGGTCAGGCAGTGGATCTGCCAAGAATCGCGACGGCGGACATAACCATGGGCATCACCACACGCACACATACCCCGATCCTGCTACGGGCTCACCCATAGACCTGCCTTCCTCGCTCGCGGCCTTGTTTGAAGCGAAGCTCACCCTGGACCGCGAAAAAGCCAAGCTGCTCAAGATGCAAGAAGAGCTCGAGGGGCAGAAAGAGATTCAAGGGTTGAGGGAGATGATGGATAGGCCCATGCCGGAGGGTGCGTTCAGTCTGCCGCTGCCGATGCCTATGGGAGGGCCAGGGGGCATGGGCATGGGCATGCCGTTCAGGATCGCAGAGGGCGGTGTGGGCATGGTCGGCATGGGGGTGATGCCGGTCAGGGTTGGAGGCAAGGGGGACGGACAGGTGGTTCTTGAAGAGGGATGTACCTGTGGACAGTGAGTTTCTACGTCTTTCCAGTGGACCAGTCGACTGACAAATAAAAGATGTCAAATGTACATTCCCGAACCAGAGCCGGACGAATGCTTTGATTGCGAAAACGATTGTGGGTGCGATTGTCATTCCTATGAGGAATACGATTGCGAACACGAAGACGATTATGTGGATGAGGATGACGAGGAAGACTATGACGATGTAGACGATGAAGAGTACGAGTATGAAGACGAAATTGACGATGAGGGGCTCTACGAGGAGAGGCCGCCTCTATCAGAAGACCCAGAACGCTTGGTGAGTTGATCTTGACTTTGTGAATCATGCTGACGACGACTAGGACGAGTATGTCGGCCAATTGTTCAATTGGGTGAAAACGGTGGTATACACGACAATCGAGCAAAAGAGGTTTTCAGCACATCTCAGACAACAAGCCAATGCCGCATCTTCATCCTCATCTGCATCAGCATCTATACCAGCATTGCAATGACACTATGTATTGTGAAATGAAATGGTACCTATACATGTCTCGTATAAAGATGATGAACTATGCCAGACGTCCAAAAACAACTAAATGCTCCCCTCCTAACCATCTAGATCTAAGCAGCAACCTCCTGAGCCCTGGGCTTTCCTCGTCCGCCCTTGACACCTCGCTCTCCCCTCTCGCGTTGCACAGTCTCGCCGCCGACGCTGCTTTGTATGGCGAACTGGACGGCCTGAGATCGGAACGCAAGACCTCGGGTGACGTCGATGAGGGAGGCGGTAGCCGAGGGGTGGGGCCGTGTGATGTGGAGCATGTTCTGAAACGAATGAGACGGGATACGAAATGTAGACGGAAAACTCACCTCCTTGAGGTCAATCTTGGCCTCGACACCCATCCTGGAATCTCTAATGAGGTTGACGATCCACTTTTCACCGTCCTCTACAGACATGTTCAAAGTCTTGGACAACTGCCTGATGTCGATTCTGCGATGTATACGGCAGTAGACCTCGGAAATCAACAGTCGCGCATTCTCCACAAACTCATCCACAAAGCCCGACAGGAAAAAGTCTTGACGGACGACCTCCTCGGCCACCGTCAATCGCTCCTGCGCCTGGTCCAGGTTGAAATCCACAAACAAGTCCTTCAAAAAGGCCGTGATGGGGTCAGAGTACTGGTACTCTTCCATATCGACAATCTTTGTGAGCTCCTTGATGTGGTCTCGGCTGGAACGGGAGGGGGCGGAAGATTTTGTGGATCGGCGGGTGATGATGGCGGCGGCTACGAGATAGCGGAGGAGGTAGGGGCAGGAAGTTTGGATGGTGTTGAGGTAGGCGGGGGAAAGGAACATGTCGAGCAAGCCCTGCTGGCCCTCTTGAAGGTCGAGGTTGAAAAAGACAAAGAGGGACCAATGGAGGAGCCATGTGCGGGCCTGGAGCTGGGCGGTAGGCTTTGAGAGGGAAGTGCCCTGCGAGTTGTCGATGGTGTCTCGGACATCACGCAGTTGGGCGAGGGCAGCTTCCCAGTCACCGACGAGAATGTTGGAGGCGAGCTTACCCCACTGGGCGGAAACGTTGAGGTCGTAGGAGGGGGAGAGGATGAGGAATTGGTAGAGGAGGTCGGCGGCGGCACCGTACTCGCCCAAAGAGTATTTGTATTGACCAAAGTGGTAGAGGGCGTTGATTTGGTCATTGTCAATCTGGCCGCAGTGTCAGCCGGCGGCATGCCTGGTGCAAAAGTCTACGCACCTTGTACTCTGTCCTCAACAGTTCAAGATTTCTCTCCTTGTCTCCACCGCTCCTGAGCTTGGCGACGGCCTCGGGGTTCTCGATGACACTTGTGACGGGCTGGGCCTTCTCCTGGAGCTCGTTGTACTTTGCTGTGGCTTCCGTTTTCAATTTGTCAAAGTCGACGGCTTCGGCGTCGCCAATTTGAGAGTGGAGTTGCTGGACCCAGTCGACCATGTTCGTGCTCTTTGTGAGGTCATATCTGGGAGGAGTAAGCACGTGCGAGGGTGGATATAGGGGCGACTGACTGGGCGCGGGCGAGCTGCTCCTGGGGGTAGATGTGGGTGTCTGCGAGGTGGGTGAGGAGGGGGATGGCGAGATGCCTGTCGAGGTTGGGGATGAGTTTCTGGGGGAGGGGGTCAGCGGGGGCATGTATGGGCTGGGATACCTACCTGGGTGAGGTCGTACTGTGCCATTATGGTGTTTTGTATGGTGTGCAGCTGCCCTGGCTGGCGGTGAAAGAGACAATAGAAATCGTCAAGTGCTAATGCCGCCCCCGGTGATTTCTACTGTGGCACCTAGGCACAATCTTAGATATCTCTCCATGCATCGCTCTTTGTGACCCTATGCCGTATGCATCCCTGCGACATGTCCCTGTTTCCCCCATGCATGCCCTCCCTCCATCCCCTCCCCATGCATCCCCCCGATGCCCCCCTCCCCGCAGTGCTGTGTTTCATCCCGTCACTGATCGATTGTCTCGACCGTCGGATTCCAGTGCGCGTGCCTGATTGCCTTTCATTGTCCGCAAAGTCGCGACCTCAGCTCCATATCCCGCATCACCATGCATCATACCCATATTTCTCATTTGCATCTCTTCCTTCTCTCTCCCTCGCTACTCTCTCTCACTCTCTACTCCCCCTCAAGGCACTACAAGCCTGCCCCATGACGTCCACTACTGACAGCGGCGCCGCCGTCTCCTCCCTCGTCGCCAGCTATGAGAAGACACTATCACAGGTCTCCGTCAAGGCTGTCGGCTCACAGCTTGCATTGATGACTGGCATATCAATAGCCACCCTCCTAGCATTCAGTTTCTTCAGACCCCGCGAGAAAAAGGTCGGTCGCTGCGAGATCTCCCGCGAGATTCCCTGGTCGTGGAGCACAATGCTGACGACACTCGTGCGCAGGTGTATGCTCCCAAAGTGTGTTGACGCCGTAACTGTTACGCTTGGTTGGTACTGACCCCCGGCAGATCAAATACCAACTGCCAAGACCCGAAGACCTTTCAGAAGATCCCGATTATGAACCGCCTCCGCCTCCCATATCAAATGGTTTCTTTGCGTGGTTCAGCCCGGTGCTGCACCTGAAGGAGGAAGCCATGGTTGCCAACATTGGTGAGTCGTCTCCCAACCTTTCTATTGCATCATCTAAACCTGTGCAGGTCTCGACGCCGCCACCTTTCTGCGCTTCCTGCGAATGCTCCGCAACATCTTTTCATGCGTCTCGGTCCTCGGTGTGGCGCTGCTAATCATCAACATTGTCTACAATCTCAAGAATGTGGACAGCAGTAACCGGAATGCGCTCAGTCTTACGACTATCGCAGACGTAGAGGGAGGGTGGATGTGGCCGGCTGTGGGTGCGAGCTATGTGATCAACGCTATCGTCATGTTCTTTAGTACGTCCAGCCACTAATAATGGGATCAGTACTCATGTGACTATAGTCTGGCGCAATTGGCAGCAAATGGTCATCCTCAGAACGCGCTGGTTCCGCTCCCCTGCCTACCAGACCAAAATCTACTCTCGAACCCTCATGGTCAGCCACGTCCGCAAAGATTTCCGCTCGGACGCCGGCCTCCTTTCCCTCATGGGTCTGCTCAAAGTAGATGGCATCAAGATTGGTCCGCAGATCGAGGCGACTTGTATTGGAAGGAGACTGCAAGACTTTCCAGAGATGGTAGAGAAGCATAATGACGCGGTAAAGGACTTGGAGAAGCATCTTGTCAAATACCTAAAGAATGGTCAAGTTGGGACAAAACGGCCCACAGTCCGAAAGGGCGGCTTCCTCGGTCTCCTTGGTGGTACCAAGAAGGCAAGTCCTCTCAATACATAAATGTCGCTTCTAACAACGCACAGGACGCTATCGACTATTACGCCAAAGAGATCAAACACCTCCGAGACAAGATTGATGCCAAGCGCGCCGCCATCGACTCTCTCATCCGCAAAGAGCGCCATGCTCGTAAAGCTAAAGGCGGCAAAGGTGTCGTGTCTCGTGTGGAAGGCGAAAACTATGGCTTTGTGACCTTCAAGACTATTGCGGAAGCCCATCGAATTGCCAGGGCGCATAGGGGCAAGCTAAAGGAGCTTTTCGGAGCGAGCTTGCAGTTGGCGCCCATGCCGCATGATATTGTGTGGGAGAATATCTCCAAGGAACCCGCAGAGCTTGGAACGAGGAGGACTTTTGGGTGGGGCTTGATTGCCATCATCTGTTTCTTCAACACCATTCCTGTGAGTATCTTATCCTGGAAAGGTATTCGTCTGACTCTTCCAGCTCCTTGTCGTGTCTTTACTCGCAAACTTGTCTGCATTGACCGTCTACGTCACCTTCCTCGAGTCCTGGAAAGATGCCGGTAACTGGGGAAACTGGACCTTCTCCCTTGTCTCTGGTATCCTCCCGTCCGCCGTCGCTGCAATCTTTGGCTACCTCCTCCCGCTTGTCATCCGCCGGGTCTCCAGATACCAAGGCGCGCCCACCCGCTCCCGCCTCGACCGAGCCGTCGTCGCCCGTTACTTTTCCTTCATGATCATTTCCAACTTGTTTATCTTTTCCTTGTTGGGAGTGGTCTATGCGGCGATAGCGAGGGTTGTGGTGCAGATCGGCAAACACCAAAGCTTTTCGACAATCATCAAAGGGTTTGACGATATCCCGGATCAAATCCAGGGCACGTATGTGCAGCAGTCTACTTGTGAGTCTTTCTTTGCGCTTGGCGATGAGTGGAGCTAATGGAGAGTAGATTGGTTGACTTGGCTTCCTCTGCGAGGCTTTTTGGTCATATTCGAGCTCATCCAGTTGATCAAGCTCGCTCTCGTGTCTATCAGGAGGTTCATGTTTTCGTATACCCCTCGTGACATTCGCGAGATGACCAAGCCGCCTTTCTTTGAGTATGCCATTGGTCAGTCATCTTTGCAAAGCTTGGGGATGAGCTGATGAAGAGACAGTCGTCGTCAACTTGATGTTCATCACCGCTGTCGGTCTGATTTATGCACCGCTCGCGCCGCTAGTCGCTATTGGCGCGACATGTGTCTTTTGGTTCTCTTCCGTCGTGGTAAGTTCTTTTGGTCATCAAGCAACATACGCTGACTCGGCGCAGTACAAGTACCAGCTGCTCTACGTCTACATTTCTCGAGCCGAGAGCGGCGGCAGGATGTGGAACGTCTATGTCAATCGTCTTTTGGCATGCTGCGTTTTGATGCAGCTGCTGATGGTGCTCAGTAAGTATTCAGCACATCAGACGAGATATGTGCTGACGCTACGTAGCTACCGGTCTGATCCGTTCGCGCTGGCTCGACTGTATCGCAGCGGCCCCTCCCGTGCTCATCATTATCGCCTTCAAAGTCTACATTACCCGCACCTCCGAGCACAAGTTCCGCTACTACGAGCCCACTGCCGAAGAGCAAGAGCAAGAAAAGCTCGAGCTCATGTCGGGCGAAAAGAAGCGCACCAAGCACTCGGATATGGAGAAGCGATTTCTACACCCTGCTTTGCAGCACAACAAGCTGTTCACGGTGATGGTGCACAAGCAGCAGGAAGTGGTGGCGAGGGAGGTTCTGAGTGCGTACCCGTGGTTTGCGGGCAAGCACGAGCACGATGGGGTGGAGATCAGGGCTGTGCGCGAGGAAAATCTCGAGTACAATCCGGATCGCGACGGTCCGGCCGACGAGATCCACCAAGCCGACTGGGACGCGCGCTCTGTCGCGTCAACGGATATGCTCAGTACACTCGGAAGCAGAAGCAACTATCCGTCTCCTGGGTTGGAAGACTACAAGCAGTATCCCTTGCCGCTTGTCGAGTCGTCGCCTTCGCTCCATCCTTCTGTCCCGCTGGATAATCCGTCGACGGATCGGCTTTTGATGGACGGGAGTAGGTCAGAGTTCTATGGAGGACCGCAGAGAAAGGCCAGCAGGCCTTATCCCGCGCCGGTGCATAACAGGGACGTTTCGGATCTGGACATGGCAGATGCGGCCTCGCCTTTGCTAGGACAAGATCCGTGGGGCGGACCAAACCAAGGCCAAGGTGTGCCCTACCCGCCATCTGCTTATACGCAGCCGCCTCTGGGGTATGTGCCTCCTACAATGAGGCGAGCGGCGTCGGGCCACTCGGAGGAGGATGTGGGGGTGACGAGGTGGGATGGCGGGGAGCGAGAGCGTAGGCCTGCTCTTTCGCGCGAGACGTCGTCGGATTCTGTCGGGTATGCTGCGGCCCGCGGGGGTCAGCAGGGGTATGGTAGTAGGGGATACCCATCGAGTGGGTACTAGATAGTTAGATGGGTTGGTGCTGGACGCCAGAGGGACGGATTTTGACGAAATGTGATGTGGTTATGAATTATCGTGTCACTAGATGCATCGAGATTACGCCGGTGGGAGGTCTTGCAGCAACATTCTCCACACGGCCCAGCCAATCCTTCCAAAGCCCTCGCCTCCAGTACCGTCCTTGCCACCGGCTCTCCGCCTGGCCTCTTTGGTGACCTCGTCGTTGAATACACCCGTAGCAGCACGGGCGTTGACGATATGGCCTACGATAGAAGGGGTGAATTCGGGGTGGCCTTGGATGGTGAGCACTTGGGCCAAGGGGTGCTCGGGGGTAGAAGACGGGTGGGGTTTGAGGAAAGAGTGGACAGGGTAGCGAGTAGATTTGGCCAAGAGAAGACAGCCAGGGGGCACAGCCGGGACGTGGTCCTTGTGCTGCACAACGTCAGCGATGTTTCCAGGCGAAAGGTAGACTGACCATCTGCTCGAGATACACCTTGTCCTCGCCGCCTTGTCCCTCGACGTCGCCAGTCCACCAGTACTTACCCTCTTTGGTAAGCTGGCAGCCATGGACGCCGATTTCCCAGCCATTCTGACCAGGCTCGCAGGCACCGCCGAGCGCGATAGACAGAATCTGGTGGCCGAAACAGACACCGACGAGTTTGACGTGCTGGGTCTCGGGAGACGACGCGACCTTGGAGATGAAGGATACGAGGGGCGGGATGAAGGGGTTGGCAGTGTCGTATGCAGTGTGTTCTGAGCATCGTCAGCGGTGGCAAGAGGCAGAGGCGGAGGACAGACTGGATCCTGTCATCATGACTGCATGGTAGGCGTCGGGTGCGCCGTGCTGGAGACGATCCCAGGCGGGATACTCTTGCTTGTTGACGACATCGTACGGGTCGACTAAGAGGTCCACGCTGGCTGACACGGCCTTGTCGGGGTACGAGTGGAGGGCTACGGCGAGCCAGTCGGTGTAGATGCGGTGGTCTGCCGTCAGCGGTGTCTGTGCGGGGGGCGCTTACAGTCTCCAGACTCGGCAATGACGTCATCGTTCGGGGTGTCGCACAGGAGGAGGGCGATTCTGAATGGCATCGTGCACGGACAACCACAATCCGACTTATCTTTACAAGGTCTTATACACCAACACGGTTTATCCAGTTTATCCAGTTCAGCCTGAACGCGCACGTGACCTGGCGCTCTACTCGATCGTTCGTTGTTTTGACATCTCTGCTGCTTATCTGTACTCTCGCGATGCCCACGGACCGCCTCCTGGGCGCAGACCACCACGCCCTCGTCCCCCGCACAGGCCCCGCCCGCCGCCTCCACCGAGCGCCCGAGCGCAGCCTCTTCCGGCAGCACGTGCTAAATGTACGCCCCACCTCCCACGGCCCCCGCTGACCGGCGCAGGAAGACACATACACCGCGGCCCTCTCGCACATCATCTCGCGCGACTTCTTCCCCCACCTCCCCCACCTCCGCGCCACCAACAACTACCTCACAGCCCTCCGGGACAACGACCCCGACCTCCTTTCGGCCTCCATCCGCACCCTCGCCACCCTCGCAAACCAGGACGACCGCGGCAGGAGGGCCGCAGATGACATCGATGCAGAGAGTATCAGGCGCGATATCACAGCGACACCGTACATCTCCGTCCCGGGCGCGAGGGACATGCGCACCCCGGTGGGAGCCAGGGGATGGGATACCCCGCAACAGAGCACCCGCCGGAGACGCAACTCGTCAGATTTCGACTCGCTAGAGGGCGATCGTCCGTCCCGAGCATCGTCTAGCAAACGCCAGCGCCGTCCGCCAGTCCGCGCAGACCTCTCTCTCGACACGTTCCAGCGCAACTTTACGTCGGAAGACAATGCCTCGTTTGCCCAGATCGTGCAGGAAGACAATAGGGTCAAGAGAGAGGAGCGTTTTGGGTGGGCATTCGAGGCGGAAAAGGCGGCAGAGACGAGACGGATTGAAGGAGAGACGAAGCGTAAAGCCATCTTGGATGCCGCGACGAGTGGCCAGTGGAGAATGAATGGAGAGGGGAGGCGGCTCATCGGCGGGTTGGCAGAAGGTGGCAAGGAGAAGGCAGAGGGGGAAGCTTGGAAAAATGTCAAGCTCATTGGCGCTGCCCCCTTGTCTGAAACCGGCGACACGTCCCAAGCCCTCGTCCCCGCTCCCTCGAGCCAGGCTCTGGTGCTTTCTGACCAACCCACTCGACTCCCCACTGAAATACCCCTGCCTCCCAAACACCCACTCGCAGAAGCCCTCACAGACGCTGGTCTGCCCACCACGGCGCTGATATCAGCAAAAGATGGACAGATTGTGCCGCACCGCGAAGTCGCCACCGGAAGCGATGCGCGTGCTACCGGAGAAGAAGGCCAGGCGTTGGAAAACAGGGTAATGAGTGAAGGGGACAAGGAGACTGTTTCTCTCGGCGGAAGTGGAGTCGATCTTTGGAAGTACAAGGTGCGTCTCACTCAACCTCCACTGACCCATGGCTGATGTCATACCAGGTTCGAAACAACCTCATGTACCCAGCAGACGCCGACACTGACCCGTACGCCAAACCTCCCTCCATCCACACCCTCCCTATCAATGGTCCGCGTCCGAGTATTGCCCATGCAAATACACGTATACCGGAAGAAGATACAGGTGGCATGGGCACAAGAGCGGGGTCGACAAGGGCTAGTAGCCCGTCAAGGAGTGTTGTCAGTGCGGCCGTGCGTGGAGGTCCTCGTAAGCCCTTCCAATACCTGCATGACCACTTGCTGACATGACCCTAGGCGAAGCCATGCCGACGGTCAACAACTACCCGCTGGTAGCAACCGACCCCTCTCCCTCCCCCCAAGATATGCCATCCCTTCTCACCTGGGGCTCTCTTCTCGCCACCCCTCGAGCCCTCGACGGCAACAATGATCCTCTCGACTCGACGCCCAGCTTCAGGCTGCCAGAGACGAAAAGGCGAGACGAGCTCGGCCGCAAATTGGCTGATAAGGCCGGTCGGGATATCAAAGAGCGGGCGAGAGGGTTTGCCCGGCCTACTTCTGGAATAGGTGGGAACAGGGGCAAGGGGGATATGGGGCCGCCGGGGACACCGAGGCGGCAAGCAGGAAACTTGACACCCGCTGCAAAGCGACTGTTGGATAGGACGGTCGGCAGGACGCCAGTCGTTGGGAGTAGGACCTCGTCGAATGACTGGGCCGGGAAGAGCTCCACAAAAAGTACAGGGTGGACACCAACCCCAAAAAAGAGATAGCGATGCTGTATACTATTAGCATGCATTGGTTGTATATACTGTATAACACACAGCAACTTGGAGTATAGTTTCGTGTTACAGATCGCACAAAGCTCACACCCTTCCCTCCCGAATCCTTCGGTGGCTCACACGAGCATCTCCATTCATCACCGACCCATCCGCACCATAACGCGAGTAGGCGTTCGTTCCAAGCCCGCTTGGAGCGCGTGGATACGGCGAATCGAGGTCGGCTTGGACGTAGCCGATACCATGAGCAGCTGAGGGGTTGTCAGGATGGGTGCAGTCTGCCAGTTAGGCAACAATACAATGGAAAGAAAACACACCTCCGTCGTAACGCGCACGTGGATTGTTGGACGAGTCGCCCCAAGACGATCCTGCGCCGTGACCAGCTGAAGAGGGCGGGCCGACTGTACTGCCGCCGCGGTGAGATGTTGCTGTAGCTGTACCAGGAGAAGAAGCTGGAGCGATACCGGCGGGTGCATATCCAGGAGGAGGTCCTGCCAACTCTTCTCGCAAAAACATCAACAAACGGAAAAAGAGTAATAGATCTACATCTGGGCTGGGTGCATACCTCGACCTTCAAGATATCCATAATGACCTTGTCGGCCTTGCTTCATTTTGGTAGGGTCGAAAGCTTTGAGATCCCCGCCACCGCCTGCTTGGGCCTGTCCGGAACCCATCACGGAGGGAGAACCCATCCCCATAGAGCGATTGCCGTCCATCATTGACTGCTGCCCGTACATGCTCTGGCCTCCGGGATACCCATTTTGGCCGTGGCCCATCATGCCGCCCCCCATACCACCTCCCCACTGATAGGGATTATACATCATGCTCGATCTGAGCGGCGAACCAACGTGAGGAGCGTGGGGAGAGGGAGAAGGCGGTGTCGGAGTGTGTGGACATAGCGAGCATCGATGACGAGGCGATGTGACGCCGCGAGATGAAGATGGGGAGATAGAAAAGTAGTCGGATGCCGTAGAGTGGTGACGGACGCGTGATTTCGAATCAGATCGCACGATTGGATGATGTTTCGATGTCATATGTAGAGGTTGGGAGGGGTGCAAAGTCAATGGTCAGCTTATATCCACTAATCCGGGCGATCATAACAGGAAAGAGAATCAACATCTCGGAAGGCATTGGCGCCCCTCGCTCGAGTCATGGGAACCCCGCTCCATTGGGCTTGAAATGGACCGGAACTGGCCACAAAGGAGCTCAAAGGAGTGATGTCCCAAGACCCAGACAGCGTGAACGAGAAGAAAGAAGGAAACGGACTGAGGATTGCCCATGCCCTGCAAAGACATGCCCAAATTTCCCATGCCCCCCATACCACCCATACCTCCCATGGCTCCCCAATTTCCTTGCGAAGCCATACTGTTGAAAGGAAAACCCATCGGTGAACCTTGCGGGTGACGAGATGCGCCCATGGGCCCTACACCGCCAAGTCCAAACCCGATACCGCCGTAGCTTGTTTGCTGTGGCATGGGCTGTTGGTAAGACAACATGGCGTGTTGCCCACCCATGCCCTGGCCGGGAAGATCCATTGGATCCATTGTCGGTGAAGTTCCCCACATAGCAAACGAAGGAAGGTGAAAAAAGTGAAAAAAGGTAAAAGCGGGAGGGCAGAGGGATGAATGGAGAGAGATGCGCTTTTTGAACCATATCTGAAATTCTGGCACAGCATGAAAGGAACACTGACGACCCAGGCCGGTTCCGTCACAAGGCCATGTTGAAAGGCAGGGGCGAAAGGCATCCTTCGCGAGAAGGGACCCGTTGAGAGACTCGAAACCAAATATGGACACTTACAGATCATATGCCTGCTGTTCCCCGAGCTCGGGGTTGCCGCCTGCTTGACCGTTGAAACCACCTGAGTAATGTCCGCTAGGTGAGACGTCAGTATGTATGACTAATCAAGAAGAAAGTTCAAACCTTTGCATATTCTGCGCGCCCATGCCCATAGGATCCATTCCTCCGTACATGGCCCACCAGTATGAAGGGTCCCAATATGGATAAGCATACGGGTCATTCGCTCCCGGATACTGCTGCATGTACTGATCGGCCGCCATACCTTGAGCCTGCGTGACGTCCTCCATGTCGTCAGGGCGGGGGCTAGGCATATCCTGGCGCTGCGTAGCTTTGGTTGTTGGAGAGGGTCGCGAGCTACTCGACTTGCCTTTTTGCAAAGGTTGTGAGCTTGGTTGTATGGGAGGAGCGGGAGTGGACGGGTGGTACTGTTCGAAATTGTACGCCTCCTCGCCCGGCGAAAACATCGGAGTGTTGTACGAGGAGAGGGCACTGGGTCCAGCAATCTCTCGAGTCTTCGGTTCCCAGTCTCGCGACCCAGTCTCCATGCCTCCCTCTCGTTCTTCTTTTCTCGCTTTCCACTCCTCGTACTCTTTCTGAGCCTTCTGGAGAAGCTCGACACCATGTCTGGCGACGTGGGGGCTCGATGTTTGCAGGTCAGAGTTGGCCGCGTTGGGAGAGCAAAAAGGAGCTGGAGAGTAGAGGTCGGGCTGATTGAGTGTCATGGACTCGTACTCTCGAGATGGGTGGAGACGAGGTCGGACTCCGACATGGATAGAAGTCACGCCATTGACAACAGCACGGATAGGCGTTCGAGGGGTAGACGGGGGCAACGCTAGACCAACCAAGTCAATACAATCATCCAGACCATTGCTAAAAACCTACCAATTGCTCGAGGGATCTCGCGCCTGGATTGGTCTTCCTTCTTCCGGCTATCGGACATGGCTTGTCCCAGTCGCTCCCACTCCGTGTCCCCTTCAGAAAGTTGATGAGGCTCTTCGCGTGCCCGCGCCTGAGGGGTTGTCCCCAAAGAAAGCTTGTTGGCATCTCGAGCGAGTTGCTCCTCCCAGTCATCAGCAAGAGGGGCCTCTTTCGGAGTCTTTGACGAACGAGACGTGACGCGCTGATCGGGCTGGGCAACCTGAGGGGCTGAAGTGCGGGCGGCTTGCGGGGCAGAGGCTCTAGTAGCCGCTTTGGTTGGAGTGTTCTTGGTGGCACCGACGGCTTTGGCAGGTTGGTTCTCCTTCGTGCCGGATTGCGAGGTCCGTCGCTGATGAGACACCGAGTCGGCCGAGCGCTGCTGGTGGACGACCTTAACAGCGGCATTGGTGGTTGCCTCCTGGCGGAGAGAGGCTTTGGAGGGGGTGGCGCGGGCGGGCTTCTGGCGGGTGGGAGAGGACGAGGGAGAAGAGCCGACGGAGGGGGACTTGCGGTGTCGCTGGGGAAGGGGGGAGTCTGTGAGGCCGAGGGCAGACATGGAGAGGGAGGAGAGGGAGGAGGGGTAGCCCGAGGAGGCGGAGTGGAGGCTGTCTCTGTTGGAAGACATGGTGGACACGGACGAGGAGATGCATGGCGGAGGGTATTTATCTCGTCTCGCTGTGTATCTAGTCAGTTCAACCGAAAGGAGGCCTAGGAAGGAGGAGGCTCGCGCTTCTATCCCGCATTACGTATTCTTGCTGCGCCCATCGTAAACTCTGTCAACTAACGCGTGCATCACAGTATGTACAGACTAGTTTGCAATGTACAAGGCATCTAAAATCATACTCCATTCTAGCAAGAACAGGCAGAGGCCTGAGGCACATCTTGAGGTGTTGACGACACATCAATTTCTATATTGGTCAGCCAGCTTCGGCGCTACGGAAAGACCGAATCTCACTAGTGGCCGCTGTGTCCTTCGACTCGCTCCCACCAGGCAAAGCCATAGCAATCTTCTTGAAGAGGGTCTTGACATTGAGCCCCGCTTTGGCAGAGGTTTCGATAGACATGACACCCAGTTCCTTCGCCCTCTTGTCGAGTTCTTCAGGAGTTACTTGACTGAAACAGCTAGTCAGCATAGAGAGTCGATGTAAAGCTTTCATGCTGACCGTTTGTCGTTCAAATCCGTCTTGTTTCCGACTAGTACAATGATGACGTCCTGTCCTCGCTCATTACGGACGTCGTCGACCCATTTGGTGGTGTTGAGGAAAGAGTTACGATCTGACTGTCAGCAGGCGCCAATCCATCGCTGCAAGAACCTACTTGTGATATCGTAAACAATGACGGCAACCGAAGAATCTCTAATGTAGGAAGGAATCAAAGAACGGAATCGTTCCTGCAATGCGCATCAGTAGATTGAGCAAATTCACACTGACACTCGGCTCACTTGGCTATGACAATGACCGACCAAGCACATTAGCATGGAAACACTTGCGATCGTCTCTAATGGCAGCTTACCCAGCTTGAGGAACAGATCAGCAGATGGAGCAGGGGCACGATGTCGACTCACCAGTATCCCAAAGCTGCAACCTCACCGTCCTGTCCTCTAAATACATCGTCTTTGATAGAAAGTCGATACCTGTAGGAGGGGAGGGTAAGCATGATGCGGGAAGAACGAGTTGCTGCATACCGATGGTCGCCTGATAAGTGTTGTCAAAGGTATCGTACATCTTGACACTGTGTCAGTTGCAATGCACCGACAAAGATCCGAGTTTGCTAGAAATGGATCGTACAAATCGAGTGATTAAACTGGTCTTTCCAACACTCTGCTCTCCCAGGAATACAAGCTTGAACTTCTTCAAGGGTGTCGAGGCTGCTGAAAAATCGCCGGCGGTCGAGGGAGTCTGAGGGTTGGACATTGTGGGTGGATATCAACGACAAGCCAGGTCGCGGGCAAGGGTATGAGCAGGGCGCGGGAGCGATTTGGGAGAGAGAGGGAGAAGGGATAAAGCGCAATGTAAAGGGGGCGGTATCGAAAATACTGCGAATACGTATGAGGTGATGGTCAAAGAGTCGATGATTCCGTCCGTTGTTAGGCCCCGGGTGCAACCCGGCGGGCGGCGAAGGCGGCCATCGCCGAACACGTCACCTTCGTTGCCCGCGAGAACGCGTCGCGGTGCTCATCAACTCGCCGTTTGTCGTCGCCCGTAATACAACAGCAACTGGACATACGACATGGCTCAACAAGGATACGCAGTAGTCGATGTGGACGAAGAGGTGGGTGAATACTATAGATGTGTCGGATTCGAACTAATAAACTTACAGCCCTCTGGGTCTCGAGGGCGCGGGCTAGAGTTTCAATGTGAGTGTTCTATATATGACCCCATGAGCCTGTCAGCTGATAAAGAACAGCCTTCCTAGACTCTGATAGCAGTCGAGCAAATCAATCCTCGTCGACGCCTCGGGAGGCCCCTTTCAGTCTCTTCAATTTGGCCTATTATCAGGTCAGTCTACACCTTGGAGTTCTTATGTACGCATTATTGACCCAATTCATAATGTTGTTGTAGACATACTTTGATGTAGATACCAACACGGTTCTCAAGCGCGTTGGGATGGCCATGATACCGCGTCCGGACTTTATAGCTGAGATCTGCGACGGTCAAATTGACATATATGGCAAGTCATCCACCAGACTGCTTCTCGCGCACAAGATCTATAGACTGACTCTTCTTTAGGTCCGTTCTGGACCCTCACTACCCTCATCCTCATTCTCTACACCACGTCGACTTTGACCATATCAATTGCGCAATATCTCAACTCTGATCCTGTCAGCTCCAGTCTCCCTTTGCTTTCCACTGCTACATCAACTGTGTACCTATATGGCCTGCTTGTACCGTCTCTTCTATGGGGAGCTACAAAATGGCTTGGGATAGGCGAATGGGGGATTGCCGAGGTCCTGGGGGTCTATGGCTATTCCATGGGAGTGTTCATCCCCATCAGTCTACTCTGTCTGATCCCGGTTGGTATTGTAAGATGGGTTTTAATCATCCTGGGAGGCATAAGCTCAGGCTACTTTCTGTGAGTTTTGAATATATACAGAAACCATTGCTGATGATTAGTGTGCGCAACATATATCCAGTCCTTGCATCAGTAAGTGATTATGATACCTTGGAACACAATCAGCTAACTGCTGTGCAGGCAGAAAACAAGTTTGCACAGCTTCTCATTGGTGCTGTAGTGGCACTTCATGGAATCATGATCATTGCCATGAAAGTCATATTTTTCTCGTGAGTACCATGATTATGTGGAACTATGCAATAGCAGCTGACATTGATAATGTAGCAATTCTGTTGTTGGTCCTGATCCCATCAATGATCAACTACCTTGAGTATCTGAAATGTTATCATCCATGCATAACAATTCTCAAAGAGAACAAATGAGGATGTGGGATGAGCAAGGTCTTATGGAGGAAACAGGGTGGTTGAGTGTTGATGAAGTGACCTATGTGATATTTATTGATCTGCAAGGAGAAGATAGAAGGGGAAGGTAACAATCACAGCCCATGTCTTCTAATGGACTAGCACACAAGAGAGCAGCGGCCCATGGCTGTAGGCTTAACAAAGCCCCACAACCACTAGAGCGGAGCTTGCAATACCAACAGAAAGAGAAAAAACAACAACAAGTATGGGATCTGTGACTCTGCAAGTGGTGGACATGTGACAAGGGTAACATGATGATGTAAAGCTTATAGGCAAAAAGAGACAGATGATATGAGAAGATGCCCAGACAAGTACTTGTAATGTTGTCACACTTGGACATACCACTCTTTCGGACACTTCACATCTTTTTGACCATGTATAGAAATCTGCCTTTGCGTGATATTATTTTATACAGCCATAGGGGGGCTGGCTTCTGACTGCTTGCCAGCCTTTGACTGAGCTCCGGCCCTCCTGACTCAAACAAGACGCTTTCATTTCTCTTTATTCTCTTCCTCTCAATCCTTCCTCTTCCCCAATGATTCCCTGTTTTTCTCCTGATAATCTGGGTCATAAGACTCGTCCAAAGGCAGATTACTTTCTTCCTGCCCTCTCTGGTCTTTTTGTCAAGCTCTTGAGCAGCCCAAATGCTCTCAATCTCATCCTGAAGTAGCTTCTCCTGTAAGGATCCAGTGGTCAGGTCCCGGGGCACGAGTTAACAAGTCCAAATACCAACATATGCATTACAATTCTGGAGTTGGCATTGTGATGCAGTGGCTTTTGCTGCTGATCCGGTTAATTGATCTTACTTGGTATTTAGGTCCTTTACATCTCCCTTGACAAAGACTTTTTGAGTCCCTTTTTGGTCTTTTTGAGTACTCCAAAAGCTTTGAACTCCCCTCTTCAAACGGCATAGCTGTTAAGGCGGATGACATGGACAAAGTCAGGTGTAAGAGGCTGACCTTGGGATGGTCTTGGAGGAGGTGTTGTGGGCAGGGTGCCACTTGATCTGGCGGTTGGGCAGCCAGATTACAGATTTGTGCCATGCACTTGTCAACTGCTTGATGGTAGCCGTCTCTGACCAGGGGCACTAGTGCCACCCCCAAAACATCCCCTTAGAAACGCTACCGCAGCCTAAACCACACGCATATTAATCCAACTGCCAATGGCAGGCATTCTTCAGAGAATTGATGAAATCAAGATCAAGTGGCTGGAATTTTGCGCTCAATTTGGCTGGGAGGATGACAACAGAGATCTTCTGTTCCCAACAGGCCTCAAGGAACTCCACTTGGTAACGAGACTTGTGCCTGTCAAGGAACAGAAGATGCCAGTTGTGCCCGTTTTGAAAAAACTCTCTTGTGGGCGGGTTGAAAATGGTCTTGAGCCACCTTAACATGATGTAGCTGTTGGAGAAGCCCGAGTCGGCAACAAGAGCCTTTTGTGGGATGCCTGGAACACAATCTTGGAAATACAAGTCCTGTACAGAGGCTCCTTGAAAGATGATGGTAGGGGGAACGGGCGCAAACCTCACCCCAATGCAGGCAAGAGAATACATTAGTGGGGAAAAAGGTTAGGAGACATGGCACAATGTATATATGGCCACCTCATCTTGCAATCCCACCTACGCATCCCTGAGACCATAGCAACAACCCTAGTCACTGAACCCTGCATTCCATAGTACACATCACAATATCTGTACCAATCCCTTGCATTCCCCCAGTCTAAGACTGAGTGTCCAGCAAAGATGGGGTCAGATGGATTGGGCACCTATTGCTGAAGGGTAGCAATGACAATGGAGAGAAGAAGGGATGGGATGGGATGTGGGTGGTAACAGATAGGTGCTGGGGATTGAGGATAGCGAAATGACAAGGATTGACAGGTAGGTGGGGAAGCGGCGGTCCCATGGAGTTGTAGGTGAACATTGAGAATCAGCTGTCAAGAAGATGTATTGTAAGCAAAGGTAAATGACCAATAAGGGTACTACACCAGGCAGGTCATGATATCTTGAATTGAAGGAGGGTCATTTCAATTTGAAGTAAAGGATTTTTGCAGATCAGAGTTACAGATGATTACCTCAGAAACAAAACCAAGGGGTCCAGGTAACAAGGATTGAGAAGGAAGAGAAGGCGGTGAAGAATGAAAACGCTGTGGGAACAAAGGGAAGAAACTACATAATTCAAGAAGGCAACATGCATAGTATCAAACTCGCATGTCTGAAGCTTGTTGTGAAGTCAATTTTCCCATAAAAAAGAGAGCTTGGGCGACCTGCTCCTGCTCGATATGCTTGCGCAGGGGCTGAACATAGCTCGGTAATTTTGCAAACACAAGTGATAACCAGGGGTGCAGGTCTGGAAGAGGTAGTGAAGAATTTGTCTACTAGGCCTGTTTGCAGCCTGGGTAGCTGGCAAACAGTGGTTGTGGAGTAAGGTGCAGAAGATTGAGGGTTTTTGAATGCAGCAAGAATGACTAAATTTGGATGCGTGACAGTTGAGAAGGATAGAAGTTTTGGAGCAGAGTAGGGGAGGTCAGAACCACATGATGGATGAAACAAGTGTCTGAAAGAGTGGTATGTCCAAGTGTGACGTCATTATGAGTAGATTGAGTATTGATTGAAGATACTCGCTCATTCATGTATGTAAGAAAGGCTGGGTGTTGGGAAAGAGACCTCAGACCGCGACCTCGGACCGCAACCTCGGACTGCAACTCTTGACTCTCTTCTCTCCCCTCCTCTTCTTCAGTAGACCTCTACCACTCCTTCCAAGACCACATCCAAGCACATCAGTGTCTTCCTCTTCCTGCCCTTGGACTCAACCCGCAAATACACTTGGTGATACTTACAGCTGCCCCCCAGAGCAGGCCTGATCACCACAAACAACTACAGCGGCTTTGTCAGTGTTGATGCTGTGGCGCAGTGAGCAGGGTGAGCGAGAACAAAGATGCTGGACTCAAAGTGTACCATGCAATCCAGTTGGGTGATACAAGGTTGTCAAGGCCATAACAATACACTCAAGGCATGAAGCAGTGTAAGGTCAGTGATAGATATGAACTTGAACGAGTTTTCAAATGAACTTGAGCTCTCAAATGAACTCAAGCGAGTTTTCAAAACACTGGCCTTGAGTAACTTTGACGTGCCTTGAAAACTTGAAATGCCCAAAACTGGGCTTGGAAATATGGCGCCACGGTTGGAAAACCCTGTCAACCTCTGCCAGCCAATTCCAAGACGCGCCCCCAATTGGGTGATGCAAAAGCAGATGATTTTGTGCATACCCCTTGCAAAATGGTGAACACAAGGTCAGCCACTCCCCTGTAAACGAGTCTTTTTGGTGTTTCCGCGTTCTGATTGGCTGGTTGTTTTTTTTTGGTTGGCATGGCAATGTCCATGGGGCAAGAGATTTTGTCAAGCCTACATTCATGACTCAACCTGATTAATGAATAAGAAGCCTGTCATTGCACACCTACATTCCTCCTTGCCATCTATTGTTACTGCTGAAACACACTGGACAACACCCAGCCATATATATATACTTGGGTGCACAATTTCTTTGTGTTAGAATGCCCATGTACAACTGGTGGCAAGATTGTCCAATTACTTGTGTCCCTACACCTCTCACGCATGCATAAGATGTTTCAGACATGTGATCCCAAACAATTGTGCATAAGCAGAAGGCACACCAGAAGCTGTGGTCCCAGGCAGAGGAGAGGTATGGAGGTCTTCACAGGGTTCGGGTGCAAAGTATTTTGACAGCTTCCATTCCAGGCTTGCTACAACCGTCTGCGGTGCTATGTGTTGAGATACCAGCGGCACCTTGGCAATGGTTTACAAAACCTGATTAATGCAACCAAGCCCTGGCAAACCTTCTCAAGTTTAAAAGTGGGAAAGGCGTTGTTATCGAACAACCATAAGGAGTTGCTCACATCTTGAAATAAGTTTTCAATATTGCATAAGGGGGTTTTCAAGGCCTTGAGTTGTCTTTTGCAATCACACACAATGGTTGAAAACTGACGCGTATTGAAAGAGTTTTCAAGGCCTTGTTTAGGGTTTTCAAACCCACCCAATCCCAGATTTATTAGCCCATGTTTTGGTGATGCTACACGGCTCTGCAGGAATTATTAAATGGACTTAGTGTCATAATTATGTCTGTAATAAATGACTATGAATCTTCCATTCTGATCATGAATCTATGTAAAGTATATCAAGAGTTTTGAATAGGTCTAGAATAAATTGTAAAATCAGAAATAGACTTATCAAAAGTATTGGTTTTATGGAAATAATTCGAGAAAATATCTTAAACCCCCACTTCAATTTATATTATCTAAAACCACCAACATAAATATGAATTTATCTAAAACCCACAACTTGCCTCTTTGGGGCATTCGGAGCATTCTGGCTGTGCTACCCCCTGATCAGTTGCCTCAACATGACATAGTGCTCATCGGAACCCCACTGTTGCCTCCCCTTTCCATGTCCACCTACAACATCTGTCTTGCCACCAACATAGCATCAATTCCAATGCATCTCAAAACAATCAAAGAAATGTCAAAACCAGGAGGGGCATCAGAAAGCTCCAGCACTTCCTTACAAGTATTGGTCCTATGACCTTGCTTGTTGCAGCGCTTGTACGCGTAACACCGCTTGCCCCACACCCGGATGTTGTCTCCTCTTTCTTGCAGAGCTGCTGCAGCTCTCTTCCAAGCATTGACAGTAGATGCCTTGGGTCGGCCTCTCTTCCTTGCTGTCGAAAGAGCCGCTTTGGGTGTAGCTCAGAAGGACAGCAAGACGCAAAACACAAGAAGATGCAAAGCTCAAGCACTGCAGCAGACAACAACATATTAAGGTGCACGTGGCTTTGCCAGGGTTAGCCAGAGAAGGAGCCATGGTAGCGCACCAGAATGGTCTGAATCCCCCAAAAGAGGCAAGTTGTGGGTTTAAGATTTATTCATATTTATGTTGGTGGTTTTAGATATTGAAAACTGAAAGGTGGGGGTTGAAGATATTTTCTTGAAATAATTCATATGAGAAGTATAATTTCCACCAAGTCTAAATCATAATCTTAGGTCTCTGCAAAGTAGGGGAATTCAATTTGGGGTTTAAGACTGTTTTAAACTGTTTGGCTTGCTCAAGGTGGTCAGGACTCAGGCACATTGTGGTGATCAGGCCTGCTCTGGGGGGACAGGAAGTGGTCACCACGTGTAATTTGAGGATTTAGTCCAAGTACATGAAGGGGAA